TGCAAAATCTATAACCAACTTTTTAATGTTATTGCAATCATTTTAAAGTCCCCCCCCCCCCGTGTGTTCTGTTATCTTTAGAACTCTGGCTGCAAACCTTTATCCCTTTGAGATATAGACACACAAATGGCAAATCTAGGCAGACGCTAGGTCCAGTGGACATGTCTTGCTACTCTCCTATAACGAAATAACTTGGAAGAGGCAAGCAAGTCCCCTATATAATAAATTGCCTGCTTTTCCAACTAATATTTATAAGAATTATTTGAAAACCTATCTGCTTGTGCTGAAAGCAGATATTTTTTTATGACAGAACTAAAATGCTTGTTAATTCTTAATTCTAAATATTTATTTAGTTTACGGTATTTATGTATTTATTTATTTAAGCAAACTTACTGCCACTCTTATTTTAGCCTTTTGCCTGTGCATCTTTATTTGCTTATGTATTTATTCCATCAGCAATCTGTATTGTTAGAGTAGTTTTATTAAAAGATTTTACATAAATACAAAATACATTCAAAGAAAAAAAATGTAGCAAATGTGAACAGGAAAGAAGATATTACGTATGTTAAGTGCCTTCACAAAACCACATTTGGGTTTTTCTATAAGATGAAAGGTTTTTCTTTTAAGCTCCCAATCAGGAATGCTGAAAAGACTAGGCTCTAGTCTAACAAACTGAGCAAGAAGACATCTGCAATGGGAAGGCATCACTTACTGTAGGTAAGCTGTTGAATGAGCTACAAGTAACCTTTTTATTCTTCCTGGTTTCTGTGCAATCCCAACATATGGGAAAACAGGAAGTAGACTTACCCAGAAGCAGAATTCATCCCATCTTAGCAGAGCGTCTGCCTGAACACACATAGACATATTCAAGATGTAAAGCCTGATCAGTTTGGATGGCTTCAGTCAAATCACTGAATCCCTTTTCTACCACTGTGCAGACATCCTGTTAAAAATTAATGTACAGGAATACTATTCTCATCAAGTCTGTGACTTAAATGGAACATATATTCCATCTTAGATAGGAAAAATTGAATTTCACTGTATCTTTGGGAAGCAACCGACAGCTCCAGATGAAAAGTCAGAATGGGTGAATATGAATCACAGCTGGGGTCATCTTTCACATCAATCTCTATGAAAATCAATCAAATCCAATGACACTGGCAATATAGCAGGCAACAGAAATTTGACACCTCTAAAATCATTGCCAAAAACACCAGGGTAGACATTACTAAGTAGTTATCAAGGTGAAAGATGGAAATGAATCTGCAGCTACACATTCACAACTCTAGCACCTTAACTCTGGGGTAAAGACATTAAGTTGTTGCTACCAGTGAGACCCCTGTTAACCCATTAAGTATCTTAATCCCTGGACTGATCTATATATAGCAACACCAAACTGGCTTTGGGAAATAAGATTTATTTTTCTTTTTGTGCTTTGCTATCTGAAAAGCCAAGTGACTCAACTTTCTACTTGAAACTTCAAACTCTTAGAGAAGGGGCAATCTAGAAAATATTTGTTGATAAATGATATCGGAACTTTGTGGTACATAAGGATTTCACTTAATCAGTAACAACATAACTTTAAAATACACAACTAGTGAAAAACACAACTAGTGTAAGACAAATACTTCACATATATGGAGGGCTTCAGTAATCGAGGGAAGGTTCTATAACAGTGGTGGCGAACCTATGGCATGGGTGCCAAAGGCAGCATCCACAGCCCTCTCTGTGGGCATGCGCACCGTCGCCCCAGACCTAGGCCTTCAGCTGGGTTTTATAAAACCTTTTTGCTTTAAGCCTCCGCTGCCGTGTGCAAAAAAATAAAAATCAGTCAATTTCAACTTCTTGCGGGAAAAAAAAGATCTTGTAAAGTTGGAATTGATTGAACTTTTTAGTCCCACCCAGTCTTACCACCGTAGCCACGCCCACCCAATTGGCCACACCCACCTGGCACTAGGCGATGCATAAGTGGGTTTTGGGTTGCAGTTTGGGCACTCAATCTCCAAAAGGTTCGCCATCACTGTTCTATAAGATGTGATTTTTTGCACAAAGAAATAGCATCAAATTACTTCTGAGCTTGAACCTGTGAATTACTGCTGCGGTGAAACAGTTCACTGTATTAGGTTGCAGGATTTCAGCACCGGTTCCAGAAAACTTGCCATCTGTTTTTTTTGGGGGGAGGGGCTACTATGGTACAACCAAAACACTTAGCTAGGGTAAAACTGATGAACACAAATACGCATAGTCAAAGATGCTGCCATTAGAGTTAATAAAGCTGTTCCAGATCCCTATGTTATCATAAAAACAATCTCAGGATTTTCCTGTTGCACAGCAGAATTGTATGACAGAGAAATTTCCTCAGTTCACACACTAGCATTAAGGTTTCCTAAAGCATGTGAAAAAAAAATGCAGTTGCTTCTCTATTTGTACTTTGTTGAATTCTGCAACGCAGTTCTATAATCAAGTAAGTATACAAAAATGTATATGCATTTGTGAAAACACCAAAAATTCACATTAGGTAAAATTGCTTGCAAAAATATTTATATAGGCAAAATTACTACAAAAATACATATATAATCAGGAAAAATGTGTACGTTTTCAAGTACACTTTAAAAATGTGCAAATTGATATAGAAATGGGATAAAAGACTCTTTAATCTCAAAGACTTAGCAAATATGTCATTTCTTCAGTTGCATCTTATTTGCTATGCTTTTGGCCTGCATCATCATTCTTATAAAGCACTATAGTACATATAGGTGAATATTAGGATTATAAAGACATTTTTGAAGGATAATTGATGGATTATATTTATGGACATTGCACACAGCAAAGAAATAACTGCCAAATTTAAAGAAGGACAATCAGTCTTGCTAATAATATCATAAGGATGTCCCAATCCAAATTTGGGATCAAACATTATACTTAGCAGTGACTATTAAATTGTAAATTATGGCTTTTCAAACACAAGAAAGAAATACAGATACAAAATCAGACTAAATTTTATTCTATCATAGGTACTGGGCACCTTCATGAAATTTTACACATATTTGACTACACATATTTGACTATTAATTTAAAATAAGTTGAAGACCCAGGGAATGTTATCTGGAAGTTTCATGCATATGATGACCAAATAGCCACATAATTATTTCTAGGTAGCAGTATGGAAGTGTTTGCTACTGTATTCTTCCAAAAGATTTTAGTGACAAATCTAAGCTACAAATGTGGTTTAATTTTTTAAAAAGATTTTTAAAATTACCCCTAATAGCATGTTAATTGTATCATTTTGACCTTCGTATGAAAGAATTTCTGTTGTGGAACCACCACTTCAAACTAATTGGCCTTTCAGGAAAATTAGCAACTGTAATTTTGTACCTCATCATAGAAAATAAATTAATCATGCACCAATACTTCAAAACCTAAATATTTCTACAAGGAAGAACATGGTAAATATATCAGTATTTTCCTCTAAAAGATTATTGAAACAATTTGAGAACATTTTTACTCTACAGATATTACCATTATGTATCTGACAGGCCCTTTATCTGATTGATTACATGGCATTTAAGCTCAAAATAAATTTCTACGATTGTCTCTTATTCACTTCTTTATTGGGCAAGTAAACTAATTCTTCCAACTTTTGTAATGAGAAAACTCAACTGAAACAGTAAAATATCTAGTCTTGTATTTAACATTATTGTAGTAATTTAGATAGCAACTGCCTGTATTCTAAAGTAAAACTCAAATTTTAAAACAGGTTATCATCTTAGTTTAAATATTCAGTCTTAATATACCATGGAAATACTTTTCCAGGTTTGCATTATCTAACTGTACTTGATATTAATCAGGCCATGATTAACACTATACTACATATTCTGCAATTTGTAAATATGGCTGTGTAAAAGAGACCTATGCAAGCCTGAGTGATGACAGAAGATATGTGTAAAGATTTTGCAGAATCCATTTTTTTCCATTAGGAAGGGGAAAAAAATTCAATTCCTATTTCTGACAAGGAAAAATCTAAGAAAACAAGAATACAGATATATTGGGTAGTAAATAAATACTAGCAGAAACATGCTGTTTTATTTGGTTAAAACAAAGAGGTGAACAGTATTTGAATCTATAGCAGGAAAGGTGCTTCCAATCCAGCAAGAGCGTGAGACAAGTTTAGCAAGCACCCTATGCTAGATCAGAACTGCAGTTCCTATAATGGCTCTGTATATGGGTCCTAAATAAGAACAATCCTAAGTCCCTAGACAATTTCATGGCTGCCCTCCTGAAAAGATTGCAGGAAAAACGTCTTGATCGCTTAGTTGTCAGGTTCATATAAAAAAAAAAAATCATCTATCTTATTATATTTTTCCAAAACTTATATTTATGTACATCCAAACTAACATAGAAGTTGTTCTCATTTTTCTTCTTGCCACTAAATAAGTCTTCAAGGTAAGGGAACATACTGAAATCTGCAGCACTGGTGTGGGAATGCAGTATATTTATTACAAACAAGGAAAAGGCATAGAGTGTTTTATTCCTGTGAAAATTTAAGTTTCTGGTAAGTGTTGAAATCTGATGACTATACCTAACTTTTGTCATTTCTTCTTTAGTCTTTGTGGCACTTTTGCTTATCTGTTAGGAAGCTTTAGAAAGCAAAACTAGCATATACAATACCATACTTATTTCTCATCCAACAACAGAAATGTGAGATACATTATACATATTTTAAATTTATATTAGAATATCCTGGGATGCACCCAATGGTTCCTTTTTCCTATCAAAAAGGGCTTCCACTCAAACAACTGGAGGTGGGAGTAAAGGTTCAATTTTTGTCAATTTTCTTAACCAGCACAATTTTCTATGTGATACTGCATGTTGTTCCAGAAAGCCCCTCTATCTGCAACAGCAGCTTTCCAAAGGGAATTTATGTTGATAGAAAAGTGTGGTACCTTTATAATAGGCTAACACTCAGGAAGGATTACAAAATTATGAAACAGATTTCCTCCTTATAAATTCAGTGAAGCCAGATTTTATTTCTTTCTGAAAGGAGTTTTCTCCTTCAAACAAACTGAAAATGTAGTGATGAAAAGATAGTCAAACAGAATATCAAATGCACTCTCACATTTAAGCATGACTTTTCTATAAATTCATTATTATCAGGACCATATAAAATCAGTTATTTCTGAAATAGTTGCTTTATGGAAAGTATTTCATTTAGAATAACTGTTCCAAAGATCAAAGTGATTAACCTTTTCCTGAAAGGGACAACAATGAAAAATAACAGCAAAGTAACAATCCGAGTAACATATTCAAACTGGAGAACATTTATTCTTCTTCAATTGAATGTTCTATTTTTATATATGCTGGTTTTGTTTATTAATTATAGTTCTGAAATGTTAATATTAACATGTTATTTCTTTAAGATATAAAAAGAATTTGATTCAAAGATGTTTGTAATTTCAGACCAACCAACCAATTTGCAGTGTGCTTCTAAATTAAAATTAAATTAACGTACAGTATGCTTCCATCAGGTAACATAGAAATAGGATACATAAACTATGAAATATTAAAACATAGCACAATGTATTACACATAAAACTTGTTTTTCCATTTCAAGTTTATTAAAACTTTAGCAGTACAAATGATCCAGATTGTGGATTATCAAAAAACCAAACTGAAGTCCACATTAAAAAAAAAATGTTCCCCAACATGTCTCTAGAACCTAGAAGCAGAGTGGAAACAATAAGTTCATAAACTCATCCATGCCTATCTTCATCAGTTCCAGCACTTGATTCATGATCGGATTTTTTATCTTTGCCATGGGCACGATCTCTCTCCTGATATTTTGATTTTTGGTTGATTTCTTTTTCTCTTGAAGAACGAGATCTGTCCCTTTCCTTACTCCTCCGTGAGTATGATCTTTTCAATTCTCTGTCCTTGCTGCTTCTTCTTTTCTTTGAGTCAGGACTTCTATCTTGATTTCTATAGGATTTTTTGCTTTTATTCGTCTCGGAGCTACTGCTGTCATGGCTTTTTGAACGCATCTTTTTTCCAGTATCTTCCTTTTTGCGAGAACTTTTGTACTCTTGATCCCGATGCCTGTCTTTACTTCGATTTTCTTCCCTCTCAGAGCTATGGGATTCCTTCCGCCTTTTATATTCTTTCTCTCTGGACCTCTCTGGGGTGCCTCTTCTCTCTCTACTCCTTGATCTTCCTTTTCTTTTTACTTCTTTATCTCTATGTTTGGAATAATCTTTACTTCTGCTGCGGTCTCGTTCTTTACTTCTGGACCTGGCTCGTTTGCCTCTGTCCACACTTCTGCTTCGCTCTCTGGCCTTATTATTGGAACTATGTTTGTTTTTAGGCTGCTCACGTTCCCTACTTTTTGAGTGTTCATGTTTTCCCCTATCTTTACTTTTGGTATGATTCTGGCCATTACTTCTAGATCTTCCCCTTTTATTCTTCTCTTTGCTTTTGCTTCGTTCTCTGCTATGAAAGTCATTATATTTTTCTTTGTCTTTTTCTCTGCTTCTTGATCGCATTTTTTTATCTTCATGTTTACTGTATTTTGAGTCTCTTTCTTTACTTTTTGATATCTCTTTGCTTTTAGATCTAGCCTTTTTCTTGGCTTTACTTTTGTTATGTTTGTCCTTATCTTCTTTCTCGGAATTTCTCTTTGTCCCTCTGTCTTTACTGCCAGATTTGGGATCTTTGGGCTGTGTTTCTTTTTCTCCTCTTCTATCTGGACTTTCAGAACCCTCCCTTTGATCAGATATTTTTCTTTCTTTTCCTCTCCCTGGACTTTTTTGATTTGCAGCATCCTTCTTGTTTTCATTCATTTCACTCCTTCAAGACAAACAAGCAAGCAAACAAACAAACAAACAAACTTGATCATAAAGCTAGTGAAATAATCTCACACCATTATCTGAACTTACATTATAAACTGCATACACATGGAGGTACATGATAGAAAGAAGTACCTCTAAATCAAAAATACAACATACTATTGGAGAACTCTACTGCATGAGTCAAATGTGACACAACAGAATGGGAAGATCTTTAAAAATTTTGTGGAAGAATTTCCCATGAGGGGAAGAAGAAAGCACATGTACTTTCTTCTTTTAATTTCTCTATACTTGTTTTAATTTTCATTTAGCAGATTATTATTTTTTTTCCTTTTTCTTCTAGCAAGATACTAAATGAGCACCATAGGAAATGGAAAAATAGATCATTATTTACAGGAGTTTCACTGCTGCACTGACTATTGAGTTACTTATAAAGTGTGATTAAAAATCAAATAAATAAATAGTACAGAAAAGACTACAGCTTTGATTGCCTCTTACTTGTCTCCTTTTATCCATCTTTCTCCACTTGATACTCTCATTCTTTGAGCTCTTTGCATTTCCTGTCTCCAGTGTGGAGGAGTCTCACTGCGTCTAAAGCGATCCCTTGACCTGGACCTTGAAGGTGTCCGGTACCGCTTTGAATACAAGAGGAAAAATTAGCTAAAACAAGATATGGATCCTAATTTATATAGCAGCTATGATAGGTTTGCAAATTACCCATTTAAAAACATAATAAAACCTCAATTTAATGGACCGTTTTGGGATAAGAATTGTTTGTTGAGTCAATGTTCAAGTGAGATAAAGTGATACAATTGATACAGAAAATGTCAATTGATACTTATGCAAATAATATAAATGACATCAAATGTCCAAATTACCATGGAAACAATAAATTTCCTTGGCGAAGATGACATCTGATATAAAATTTTATCAGTTGAACCTGAGGAATTGTGGTTTTACTGTATAATCGTTCACAGAATAAAATTAATTTAATTGTGCAGCAGCTGAATTTTTAAACTGAAGTTTAATGCTCACTGAAAATAACACAGTAATATAACAATAGCAAAAATATAAAAAGAAAAAATGTGTTGTGCAGGAGAATACAAAAATGTATTTTAAAAAATAAGAGGAGTTACAAAATTTTAAAATAAGTAGAGATCAAGTAGTGTAAGCAGTCTAATTAACACAATATTTAAAACTTTTTCTGCTGTATTAATTTTTCAAAGTGATTTCTCACACTTTTAAATACCTGTCTTTCAGTTTTCCAGTGTCTTGCTATAATAAATTTCACATCTAACAACAAAAAAAGGAATTAATTTCTTTTATGTTACTGCATACTGAATTCTGGTATGCAGAATCCCACTTCAAATCTATGTTATTTAACAAATTCTATTTTCTTCTTATTGAGTTAATGTTATTTATCATTCTCATTTGACAGAAGCCAATTTACTTTTTAATTTTAAAATTATTTTTCTAGAGCTTTGCCATACTTTGACCTCAGTTCTAAACATTTAATCCTTGAAACAGAAATATAAGACTTTAAAAATTTGGTTCCTTGTCAGTAAGGATTTATGGGAGAGTCAGAAATTTTTCCTTAGCAAATCTTTGTCCCACAAAGCTAGTGAACACTGATGAGTTTGAGGGAATCCTCTAAGCCACTACCTAACAGCCTTGGCAGAAGGCAGTCCATTATTGGAGAACAGAACAATTTAGCAATAAAACATTGCATGCTTGATAGTAAAGGAACTCTCATGGGGAGACTAATAAAACATGCATCCCAATTTGAGGCCAATATTTTGACAAAACCTCAGTTTGTTGTAGAAATCACTATATGCTAACCAACCTGCAAACATATACAGCTTATGGTCACAACTAAGCCCAAAATTTCTATTACTAAATGAGACATTTGTTAAATGAGTTTTATCCCATTTTACTATCTTTCTTGCCAAAGCTGTTAAGTGAATCACTGCAGTTAAGTTAGTAATACTATTAAGTGAATCTAGCTTCCCCAGTGATTTTGCTTGTCAGAAGATAGCAAAAGGGGCTCACAGGACCCCTGGACACTGCAACCATCATAAATTTGTGTCAGTTCCCAAAAATCTGAATTTTGATCACATGATCATGGGGATGCTGCAACTGTCATAAATATGAAACGCAGTCATAACTCACTTTTTTTCAGTGAGTTTTTCAAACCGTCATTGAAGTAACTGTTACAAGTTGAGGTCTATCTATATTGCTTTCTTTGTCTTGATATCTTAGCATGATACATAAATGCAAAATGCTGGTTTTGTTTGCTAAACCTACTGGCCTTGGCCTAATTAGATAGATAGATAGATAGATAGATAGATAGATAGATAGATAGATAGATAGATAGGCAGGCAGGCAGGCAGGCAGGCAGGCAGGCAGGCAGGCAGGCATATATGTATGTATGTATGTATCACACAACTAAATCACAGTTTATTAAAAGCCAAAGATCAAAGACATTAAACTGCAAAAAGCAAACATACCCTTGGTCCCCTTCCTTTTATTTTTCTTCCAGATCTTGTCACCAATAGCCTTCTCTGATATGATGTTTGACAATTTGATAGATTACTAGAAATTAAGAAAAGAAAAAAATCACTGCTGTTTAATCATGATTTATTAGTTTCTTCCATAATCACGTACTTCTGAAGCTCACAAGCTGCCAACACTATGCTAAACATTTCCTTCATAAAAAATAATTCAAATATTCAGTGGTGAAGTGACAGTAATAGTAATAATAGTAAATTCTAGGAGCCTTAGACCAGCAATATCAAACTAAAATGCAATTAACGAAGAAAATACAGATAACAGTAAGATATAACAAGGCAATTTTCTTACATTACATAAAGATGACTGCTGAACACCATGGATGTGCAAAATTAACTGAAAATAGTTAATAAATATTTAAATGATAAACTATTTATTCCTCCCTTGAAGAATCTTTATCAACATCAGGGAATAAATCCTGCTGAAAGCAATGTGCTATCTTTTAAGTAATGATGCTAAAATCTGTGTTGATAATTATTTTAATAAAAGGTTTAAAAGCTATTTTAGCAGTTTTATTTTGTGTTAATGAGTATTTTTTAAATGTGTTTTATGGAAATTGTTTCATTTTTTAAACCGAACACATTTTTGAGAAAAGTAGCTCAAAGATTTCCAAAAGAATGATCAATAGAACAGACATAATTATTCTGAATCTTTGTCGGTATGCAGGAATACAAGTTAACATACAGTTTACACTGATCACAACTTTTGGGTTATTATGTCAGTCTCAAACATACATTAAACTTTACATTCCCCAAAGCTTAACTTCAACCAAGTTAATATATTTTTTTCTATTCACCCCAGTTAAGATATAGTCATGGCTGTGAAAGTTGGACCATAAGAAAGGCTGAGCGCAAAAGAATTGAGGCCTTTGAACTATGGTGCTGGAGAAGACTCCTGCGAGTCCCTTGGACTGCAAGGCGTTCAAACCGGTCAGTCCTGGAAGAGATCAACCCTGACTGCTCTTTAGAAGGCCAGATCCTGAAGTTGAAACTCAAATACTTTGGCCACGTAATGAGAAGGAAGGACTCACTGGAAAAGGGCCTAATGCTGGGAAAGATTGAGGGCAATAGAAGAGGGGGACGACAGAGAATGAGATGGCTGGATGGAGTCACTGAAGCAGTAGGTGTGAACTTAAATGGACTCCAGAAGATGGTAGAGGACAGGAAGACCTGGAGGAACGTTGTCCATGGGGTCGCGATGGGTCGGACACGACTTCGCAATTAACAACAACAACAAAGTGGGCTGAATCTCACTGCAAACTCCCTAAGGACCAAATATTTTCAAATGGCTTATTTTTTAAGTGGATCTGTTGATATCCTAGGAGATTAGCATATGAAAAATGTAAATGAATTGCTGGTTTTCCATATAGTTATATTGCTCTATTCTGTTTGATCTGGCTTGACATTTTGGTAATTACATTGCTTTGAGTGGGGTGGACAAATGCAATATTCTGTGTACTGTACTAGGCATTTCCTTGTCCTGTGAGTAAAGGGTCATTCGTCCCATTCTTCAATAAGAACAATCACTCTGATTGCTGTCAGATTTGGTGGATGTCTTCATGGGAATATGCTCTGTTAACAAGAAATGGCTTATCAGACAACCGTCTACCATACCTTTTGGTGATAACTATCAGGCTAACCCTAACAAAATTACTCAGTTGAACAGCCCAGTAGGGTGTGGATATGTTAAGTATGAGCTGTTGGGTGGGTGTCTGCAGCCTCACCTTTCCAAAATTAGTCAGAATATTGTGGTATACATCAGAACATAACCACTGTGCTATGTGATCAGAATTATTGTTCTGCTTTTGTTAATCCTGGTTTATGCTTTTAAGCACATTAAGAGGATACAACCACTTTAATAAATAATGGAGAAAAGCAAGGGAAAATTTCTCTAATTGTTAGGTACACAAGTGTTGATCCTGATTGTTTCTACTGTGACAGGAAGAAACAATGAGGTGTATTTCTGGACCAAATAACTGGATGTTGTTGCCTTTAGTATTGGCATTCGTGGTTACAAATTAGTAGATTAGTTGAGAATGGTTTCCATAATCATTTTATATACCCGATAATGTAATTATTTTCCCATTATATTATTCTACCTTATGTTATGTTTTCACCATTTAGTTAGTAATCGTAATATGTTTACACATAGATCTTAGTATTTTAATATCATACTATTGTGTTGGTAAATAATTTTAAAAACCCTTTACCTTTCCCTTTCTTTTTCTCTGTTCTTTGTCTCTTTTTCTTTTTCATCTACTTTGGGAGGACTTTTCCTCATCAGAAATCTGTTTTCTGGAACAGGAGGAATCTCTTCTGGACGGACTGTAGAAAGTGGCTGTTGCAATTCGGGATTTTCTGTTTCAGGTTCACTAGCTGAACTTAAATTTATAAAACAAAAGAAGACATTTATTTGTATATTTAGAATAATGTTAAGTTTTCAGATGCCAAACATATTTTAAATTTACTATATTTTAGAATATATAAATATATATGTGTGGAAAGTTGCAAAATATTTAATATTTTAATCTGAATTGTGCTGGTTTTTCTTATGCCTTGCTAGTTCTAAATGCAGGGATGAATATGGGAACTGCTTTTTTGGCCTTTTTACTAACATAGTAATTTTAAAAAATACTCCTGAACATATGTAAATCGACAGATTTAATCATGCCTATGGACAGTTTCTGAGCTGCTAACCTACAGAAAGTTCCAGGTTGTGATCCTCCAGCTTATAAACCTTTAGTTATGAACAAGCTGCCTGCAGTACTCAAAATGGCAATGATTTAAGATGGCAGGTGGCACTTCTCCCTGCTAATTGAAAAACCTTTGAAGCCTTGCAGTTCTTCCATGATCATGCACTTTTAATATATTGCACAGCCTATTTTCAGTGGTTCCTGAAAGCACTGCACAGCTCAAGAAAGAATGCTGTCTGTCGTTTTGAGTCATGTCCCACTGCAGTTTTTCTCTAATTGACTGCAACAAGATCCAACTCAAACGGTAGACATTACTTTACCACCATGAATTGAAGCATCACTGAAGCATCACAATGCCTGTGTGAGCATCACAAAGTAAAGCAAGTATTTTTAATGTACAGGTAGTCCTCAGCTTATGACCACAATTGAGCCCAAAATTTCTGTTGTCAAATGAGACATTAGTTAAGTGAATTTTGCCCATTTTTACAACAATATTTGTCACAGTTGTTCAGTGAATCACGGCAGTTGATAAGTTAGTATCCCAGATGTTAAATGAATCTGACTTCCCCATTGACTTTACTTGTCAGGTTACAAACGGTGATCACATAACCTTGGGACACAGCAATGGTCATAAGCATGAACCAGTTGCCAAGCACCTGAATTTTGATCACATGACCATGGAGATGCTGCAATGGTGCTAAGGGTGAAAAATGGTCATAAGTCACTTTTTTCAGTGCTGTTGTAACTTTGAACAGTCATTAAATGATCTGTTGTAAGTTGAAGACTACCTGTACTGCACTGCCTGTTTCAAGAAGTTCCTGAAAACATTCCATGGATTCAGCTGTTCCTCAGCTTGTGGAAGAATGCCATTCACCATTTTGACTTGCGTTGGGTTTCTGTTTTTCTCTTATTACACAGTAAGACAAACATGTGACTAAATAGTTTGTCCCAGTTTACATACAAATAGACTTAAAGGAAGACTTAGGAACGGAATTTGTTCTTAACCTGGGGACTTGCTGCATTACAAAACCGCTGGGTTGACTTTCTAGCAACAGAAGCATTGTTCTCCCAGTATCTCAGATTTCATCCAAAAATATATTTAAAATCATTATGATTTTAGATACATAAGAAATCTGTAAAACGTATAAAAAACGTATAAAAAGATTTATTTTACAAACAAACTGAAATTGACAAGGGAAAATGTATCTTTCTTCCTTCAAATTATTCTATGTTACATTTGTTGCAATAATAGTGCAGGAAGGAATTTTTTTCAATGCTTTCACAGAAATCTTCCCTCTTCTCTATGTACCTCTTTTTGCTTTTTTTCCTCTTTTTCTTTTCTTTCTTATGTTTCTTAGAGGTTTTTTTGTGTTTCTTTTTCTTTTTCTTTGTTTTTTCTTCAGCAGCACTGTCAGATTCAGTTGACGAATCAGAAGACGTTTTTGAATCACTTGAACTTTCTGAATCACTAGATGAAGAAGACGACTTGCGTCTTTTCTTCTCTTCCTTCTTGACTTTAAATGAAACCAACAGAAAAGCATTTACCGCCTAAGCATAAAAATACTCTTTTTCCTATCTTTCCAGTTTTCCCTTTAATTTCCAAATATTAAAGCAAATAAATAAAAGTTATTTCCTAATCGTGATTTTTCATATATGAAAATGCTAAATATTATTGTTTAACTGTAATCACAGAGTTCAAGCAGAAATATGTTGTTATACCCCCAAAGTCTAAAGATTCTTAATAAACAATTTTAACAATGATGCTCTTAAAGTATTAAAATAAACCAAATAATTAATTTCTACAAAAGATGATTGGAAAACAAAAGATTACAGCTGATTTTTTTTTCTTTGCTGTAGTGGCAATCTGGAAGGGCAGACTATTATTAAAAAGGTATTTTAATTTTACCTTTGGATTACTCCGCAATTATTTTTATTAGGTATTATTACTGACTGTGATGCTAAGGAAGTTATACTGATGCTAAATTTGATTACAGCCGCTAGGCTGTTAGTTGGACAATATTGGAAGAAGGATTCTTTGCCTACTTTACAAGAGTGGTTTTATAAAGTTTCGTATTTGGCAGAAATGGCAAAGATTACGGCTTTCTTAAAGGAGCAATCTCAAGAGAAATTTTTTGTTGTATGGGAAAAATGGATAAATTTTATTCAACACAATTTGAATATGGAAAAATATTATTTAGCTTTTTCATAATTTGTATTGATTGCTTTTTTTTCTTTTTTTCTTTTGTTTCCGTCTTATGAACTTTTATTTTATTCTTTTTTCCTTCTTTTTTCTCTCTCTTTCCTTTTTCTTTTTTCTCTCTTTTTTAAGTATTTTTTTTTCTTATCATATATAAATTATTATTAATTATTTTATAAGTTGTAAATGTTGTTTAAGTTTTTTTTTAACAAATTTTAAATAAGCCTATATTCAGTTCTGGGAAGTTCGGGGAGGGGGGAAGGAGGGGTGGGTTTGGGAGGGATTGGGTGAGGGTTGTTGTTTATTTGTAAAACTTTTAAAAAAATTTTACCTTTGGATTTTGGAATTAGTTCTCCACAACTCAATATTCGCACTTCTGCATATGGTTTACTAGATGCATCTGTCTTCTGATTTTCTATTTCTCTTACAATGTCTTGCCCCGAAATTACTTGTCCAAAAACAACATGATACCTAAATGAGTGAAGCATAATTTTAATAAATGACTGACATATCTATCTCATTGAAGAATTCAACAGAATTTTCCAGTTACAAGTAAAAGACAAAAATACGTACCCATCAAGATGAGGGGTAGGCTTAGTTGTTCTTTAGATGACACCAGAGGCAAGAATTTAATAAAAAAAAGGGATAATATTAGTATTAGGTTGAGAGGAAGAGAGCACAAATTTGGTATATTATGACAGAAATGAGAAATATGAACAAAACATAAATACTGAACAGCAACAATGTCAATACATTAAAATTTATATAAAGTTCTGCTTATTAGTGTAACTGTACCTACAATTCAAAAAATATGTTTAAACAAATATATTCTATATAGTCTAGTTTTGAGTGAGATAGTATACTTTGACAACACTATACTATATAATGGCATGAATATTCAGAATTCTTCTGAATAGGAACAATTTCCTTCAATTAAAATATCTGATATTATAAAACGGGCTTAACTAGAACATTTCTTCCAGGCATCCAATTCCTATGTAAGGAACACTTTTAATAACCTGAGCCATCATTTCTGTAGAACAGTTTAGACTCAGGTTCTTTTGTCAAAAAGGCCAGTTACTTTTTGTTAATAAAAGATGCTATGTTATTCAGTTTCAGTAGTAGAATAATACTGAAACATTTGGTCTCATACTAATTTATTCATTCCACAAATCTCTCTAAACTTCTTTACCACTGAGCAAATAGTGTACATTCATTTTTGAAGAACAGCTTATGCTTAATATAAAACTGAAAATAAAGAAGCAAAGACAAAGAAGATTTTGAAGACACTACAACCCTCAATATATTATTCAACCAATAATTTCAATTAATAAGTTCACAGTGGAACTTATTAAAGATTTAATATTTAAATCTTTAAAAAACTAATGTATTTTTATTTGTTCTAAAGTTCAGTTACTTCATTCCCTCGGATGATTCCCTTCCTCTTCCTGACTTATCAAGTAGTCATTCCCATTCACCTGTCAAACTTCTGCCTATACTGTGAGAAACAGGGGACACAGATGTGTCCTTTATTTCATAATGAATAGAGTTGTAAAAATAGCATCTTCTGTTATGTCTGGAATATTCAACAATACTGCCTGTAAATAAATGTTAACTTCCCCGACAATCAGAGAATATACATATAAGCATTATCCACTTTCAGCCCATGTCACTATTTAGCCCTTAAAAAACTCACAATTATTACACATTAAATGAATTTTTTAATGTAGGCATTGATTAGGTTGCAACTATTTAACTCTTACAACTGTTAGACCACTCTACATACAGCTTTCTTTTTGAAATATAAGACTGTAATGGCTGCCCCTATTTCAGAGGAGATTTTGATTCTAACTATTTGGCTATTTGTAATTCTATTTATTATTTCCACTTTGGACAGAATAAAACAGATAGATGCATCATTTACTTCTGAATGAACTTAACTCAGTAATTAGAGAGAATTACAGATATGGTGCTTTGTAAGTAGCAGAAGAAACATAGTAAAGAAACTGAAGTAGTACAAGAAAAGTGAGGAAAAGTTTATTATTACCTATATTTCCACACTAGCAACAACTGACTGATTTATGGCACTTTGCATTATGTAGTGAACTTTCATGGGTTTTATATGGAATATGTTTTAATGATTATATGGAAGGGAAACAGTGGTTTGCAGTTGCAAGTTGAAGAAAATACTGTATTGGGGAACTGAGATTTCATGGAAGACAAGGCTATTAATATACTAATTACTTCTGACTTTTCTCTCCCTCAGAATTATAATGGTTTTGTGTTTTGGTCTGCTTGTGATGTTAAATGTCAGGTTGGTTAATATTCTCTCTCTCATCTCTTGATGTGTTTTGGTGGGAATTTTGTCCTGTCATATGTAATCAAGACTTGGATTATGAAGGATTAATCTCTTCAGCAGTGCTTTCCTGTTCAGCACCCTAACAGATTATAAAGTATTCTTATACACTAGATTCTTCAATCTGGTACCTCTACCATTCCAAAACTAGAGGAACCAGAGCTGTCTGAAAATTATGGAAGTTATAAAAATTTGAGGATCTAAAGTTCAGGAAGTCTGTACCTATTTTTCAGGCTCAATGCATGGACATAGTAATGGACTAAATGAGTTTAGTTTAGTTAGACAAGACGGAGTATATGTAGCACATTATTTTCTCACAAGGGAATGACAGTCAAATTGTTTTAGAAAAAATGTACCCCTCTTAACAGATCAAAACTGGGGAATGTCTTGTTTATTCACATTATTGTCAGAGCTTTAATAATTCCCTATGGCATGAAATGTGTTTTACAAGTTTAGATTAGTAAGTTAATTATGATTCAACTAGGATGGAAATACGGTGCATTCATTAGCCCATATTCTGATATTCTTTCATTTAGATTGATCAATGAATGTATATGCCTTCACTGGCTCTTGGGCCCAATGCCAATGTTGTCCCTGTATAAAGCAGTACAGACTGCTTACGGACTAGAGAGAAAAAGAGCATCTTTTCTAATATACTTCATCTGGGATCATTACCCCAAGCCATGGTATTACTATTTAAGTTTTCCCTCACTTATTTATTATCTTTGGCAAATGAGCAAGCAAGGGTCACAATTAGGCAATGTCTTTTCAACATACACCATCAAAATGGACCCTGGAAATATCATTCAGCTTCCCATGACAGACAGCAGGAAATATACTCTGGCACAACCTATGTATCTTACAAAGCTTCACATTCCAAATCAGGAAAAGAGCTTTTACTTTAGCCCAATGTAATGTTCTTCCCTCAGCACTTCTGGCTGGAAGATACAAAACAATCCCATACTCATTATGAATATGTCCTTGAGACTCGGTACATATAGAAACTATTGAACATGTTCTCCTGTATATCCACTTATATACAGAATCTTGAAATGCTCCAACTGCCACACTTCTGACTAGTAAATTGGACACAATAACCAATAGTATAAGCAATGTCTACTTTTTGACATCAACCCTGAAGTAACATATAAGGCTGCCAAGTTTTGCATGATGACATGTAAAATCAGGCAAAGAATAATTAAGAGTAATTGAACCTGCTAGAGTAGGGATAGTCAAAAGTGAATGAGGCTTGGCATTAGCTTTTGGGTGTACATGCCATGTCAGCTATTGCACTACATTATATTTTTCTCAGCCACAAGAGGATTTCTGTAAGAGAAGCTTACAATTGTTAAAGCCTTTTGGATAATTTTATTATTTACAAATATACAGGTATACAGGTAGTCCTTAACTTACTACTAATTGCTTAGCTTGAAATTGCGACAGTCCCCAAAAGCTAATTACAACCCAAGTCTGAAGTTCTGATGGCCATGTTCTTCCATAGTTACTGCATTTGGGGCATTTGGCAACTGGCCCCTATTTATAACTGTTTGCAGTGTCCCATCATCATGTGACTGATTTATGACATTTTTACCAAAAAAGGCATTTACTTCTGGTTTTCAGAAAAAATGTCCCATAACAAACAATGGTTTCACTTAATGACCATGGCATTTGCTTAACAACCATAGTGTTCACTTTACGATTGCTTCATGACAGCCGGAAAGTGGTTGTAAAATCAGTCACATGGTGACCTGCTCTAGGACTATCACAACCTATGACTGTAATTGGCAGGATCCATTAAGATCCCAAGTCAAGAACTATGTCTGTTATACGGTATGTATATGTTTGTATTTTATACTGTTATTTCAAGTTTATATTATCCAGATTGCTAACTTTATTTTCTCCTTGTTATATACATATAGCCTGTGCAAACCTTTTAGCATATTTGATTTAATATTGTTTTTTAGCCAAACTGTTTTGACTGTTGGTACTTTTCTTAACTATCCTGGCCATGTCAATTTAATATTGGTTATTTTAAATATTTGAATACCAATTCTCTTGTGCTGATTAATGATTGTAATAAGCTTACTATCAAACTATCCTTATCTTTTACTATGGCATGTTGAGTTCTTACTCAGGAGCAAGACCTTTACTTGTAGATTCCCCTCCTCCAATTATACCACATGTTCAATAGAGAAGTCCATCTGTAAGTTCCTCTACATTTAGACTTTTAAGAAATATTTTTATTGTTATATTGTCCTTTTTAAAACTTTTCTTATATTTATTCTAATTGTGGTTTTAATTTTATATACTTGGCATTTTGGGGAATTTTGTGATGGTAGTTGTCTTTGTTGAGTTTTGATATACAATACTTTTTTTGTAGTAATTTCTATTTTTTTTATAATTGTATTTCTGTTTATATTGTAAATTAATCTTAGATAGATCTCCCATAATTCTTAGAAATAGTGAAATAAAAGTATTCTCCATGCTGAAGGTATTTATACTTTGTAAACAGAAAGTTATTCCAACAATTCAAAGCTCTTACAATTTAAATCATAAGGAGCTCCATCCAAATGATGGAGCTAGCATGATACTTACATAAAAAACTGTGAACCATTTGTATCTTTCCCTCTGTTGGCCATTGAAAGGAGAAATTCTTTGTTGTGCTTTACAGCAAAGCTTTCATCTAGAGAAAGCGTTTGAATTACTTCAAAAATCCAAGTTATTACCTTGCACTGGCATTTTTTTTTTTTGCATTTTAAATTAGGATTGTCAAGCTGCATAAATGTTATCACTGCAGTGCCAAACAGTACTCAAATAGATAAAACTAAAGACAGAGATGTATACTATAATTCTCAGTTTATTGGACAAAAATATAAATATTATTCAATTAATATTGTTGAATTGCATTCTCATATAATAAATGAATAAATGCAGAAATACAACTATCTAGCAACTCATTGATCTGTCAAACAAGAACAACCTGTAAGTGACTCATTATCCAAACAGACGTATTTTTTGGGGAAAAAAACCTTTATTATATTTTGCTACCTACATTTATAAAAGTGTGCCAAAATAATATGTTGTATTGCTAGTTAAAAAAATACCTCATGAACAGTCCTGTTTTAAAAAAGGTAATTTGGAAATTGAAAAAAAATTCAATTACTTATACAACAGACTTGTTTATAAGATATTTGTGTCATAAAAGCGTCTTATCTAACTTCCAGTAACAGCCTTTTAATACCATCAGCTCACATTTGTAGGAGCATGAAAAGAACTCAGATTGATTAGTCAGAATTAGTATTCAGCCATCTTTGAATTTTTACAGAGAAAGACCGAAACCAGATCCATTTATTGGTCTACTTGGTCCAACTGCCAAACTAGCATTCATTTTCTGCCAAAAAATCTGTTTGTTAAAGACATGTCAAATGACTGGAATGATCCCTCTCTGCTCAGACATGAGCAAGTAGGGCTGGTTTATTAGCAACCAATGAAATGGTTAAGCTGGGCTTGGAGACAAGATGCAAGGCTGTCACACACTTCAGGAAGAAAGGACTTACTACCTTAAGAGAAGTAGAAAAAGAGATGGGTTGGTATGCCACTGATTGTGAGATCACTTGAGGCCAGACTTTTTAAAAGTTCTAAAATAACTGTACAGTTTATGATCCTCATTATGAACCTCAAAATAAACTAGTTATTTTGTAGATCCAAAAAATATGTTGTTCCTAATATATTCACAACACAATGGTGGAGTTGTAAGCTAACCTCAGAAAAAATAGTTCTTACCTTCAAAAAAGCCTCCATAAATTGATTCTCCTCCTCTCCCATTTCCTTGTATGAAAAAACAACAACATACATCTAAGAAAAGATCCTGCAAGCATCCAACAGAAGATAATATAGATAGTTCAAGGTTGAACTGTGGAATCCTTAGTGTTCTCTGAGCTTGGTTGTTTATTTGTTTGCTGACATTTGAATACCTGAATTGGGTAACATCATCAGTGCTAGTGAGTATGGGGTTTGCTCCCTGTTTATATACAGTAACTTGCCCTGCCAGTGTTTCAGAAATGTGGTTTTTTCCTTGGTAGTTCTTTGATTAAAGTATGGTTTTCTGCCAGATTGTTTGTCTGGTGTCAATCCCTGCTTATCTAGGTATTGGCACCAAGGGTGTTGGAATTGACACCAAAGACTCCACAAACTTTAAAATATTTGTATTCAAACTGAATATCTTTATAGAAGATATTGTTATGGAAGAAGTAACAGAAAACTAGTCTGTTATTTTACTACCCATCTAGGCAATTTAAAGTGGACATTAATGAAACAGAATGAGAGAGTTCTAGTTTTTCTTATATTTTTACAAATTAATTCAGATTTTTTAAGAAGGAAAAAAATGGCAATATTTTAGTAACATCTTTAGCAAAGCACTCTGCTTGAAACTATCATAGAAATTCATTCCTAAATTTTGGCAAGAGACTATTATCCCGAGTTTCTTTCCACAAAAATAGACATCAAAATTATTTAAATACTATAAAACTTTTATTTATATTTGAACAATTACAGGCAATAAATTGGAACAAGTAATGTCATACCTTCACTGAAGTCACCACCTTGGATCATGAAATCTTTCACAACTCTATGAAATAAGCAACTTTTGTAATGAAGTGGTTTCTGGGTTGATTTTCCAATACCTTTTTCACCTACAAAGAAGAAATAGTGTAATGCACATTAAACGTTAATGACACAATCTCACATGATGAAATACAAGTCAAATTGTAAATCAGCTTTTGGTGTTTTTTAAAACTCTAAATACTAAGCCATTAAAAGAAAAGGTCACACAGTACTAATAGTAGTAAAAAAGAAGCAAATAAAATGTTTCTACATAATAGGCAAAATCCACAGAACTGTACCCATTTAATTCATAAGGCTAGTCCTCACTTAACAACTACAATTGGTTCCAATGAAATGGTCACTAAGCAAACAATATGATATAGACAGAAAAAGAAAGGGGGCTTTCAAAATTACTGAATGCTGCCATTTCATTTAGATAGTTTCCTTGTGCTACTCTCATTCTGGCATGGTGCAGAAATTTGAACCTAAATATATGCATTGGTCAGACAATGATTTTTAGTACCACTTATTCCCACTGTATTTATAAACAGCTGCTATCTGAGGCAGTTGCAAACGAGGACTGCTTATATAATAAAGTGGTCTGAAACTTCAGTTAACTTCTCACTTGTAAGACTCCATTATTCAAGGATAGGTTTGTATGCATTTTGTTTCAGATAAAGGCAACCTTGCTGTAGAGTGCTAAGGAAATAGGAGAAAAGGGGCGTTGTCTTACCTGAACGCCTTTTCTCAGCACGGAGATGGAGAATCCACCAATGGGTTTAGACTGTATTCCTGCCCAATCAGATCAGGTCAGCCAAAGTTGCCACGCCCGTCCTGGACCATAGAGATCCCAGTCTTGACGCAAGCGAAGCCATTGACTGACAGCAAGACGTTATGGCTAACAAAACTAACTAACCCTAGGCCTAGATGACCTACGAGGGTGGGTGTGAATTCTCCATCTCCGTGCTGAGAAAAGGCGTTCAGGTAAGACAACGCCAATGGGACATACCAAAGCCTACTGTCCCTGAGGGTGGGGAATAGACTGGTCCGGTGTGGCACTTTGATGTACAATCTGCTAAAGAACCCTCCTACCAAAGGAGGCCTCCGCCGAGGAAAATCTATCGATTTTATAGTGTCAAATGAAAGGAGATGGCGAAGCCCATGTGGCCGCTCTGCAGACTTCCTCAATGGAAGCTTGAGTGGTCCATGCCGCAGAAGTAGCTGCACTCCGTGTGGAGTGTGCTGTAACCCGTCTAGGAACCGGCAATGACTCAGCCTGATACGCTCCGGCGATGCATGCTCTAATCCACTTACCAATGGTGGAAGAGGAAACCTTCCGACCCCTGGAGGAAGAGTGGAAGGATATAAAGAGAGCTTCTGAGTTGAGGAATTCCGCTGTCCGTGAAATATAGTACCGAAGAGCTCTACGGACATCCAATGTATGCCATTGTCATTCCAGGGCGTGTGATAGATCTGGGCAAAAATCCGCCAGCACTATCTCCTGTGATCTATGAAATAAGGAATTGACCTTCGGGATGAAGGTAGGGTCGAGTTGAAGGACTACTCAATCCCTGTGGAAAACACACAGGTCATCCCGGATTGAGAGCGTCGCCAATTCGGAGATACGTCGTGCCGACGTGATTGCCACCAAGAATGCCACCTTGTGGGACAGGTAGCGGACATCGCATGTCTTTAGGGGCTCAAATGGTGCCAGTAAGCGCCCATAAGACCCGTGGTAGTTCCCACGAAGGGTACCTGTGCACGGTGGGAGGTCTGGTGTTCGCGGCCCCTTTAAGGAATGAACGGAGTAAAGGGTGATGACCCAATGACTCCACAGAGTTACAAGTGAGGATCGTGGAGAGAGCAGCGATCTGCCTGCCCAGTGTGTTTGGGGCCAAGCCCCTCTCCAGGCCGTCTAACAAGTAGTCCAAGATGTTGGGAATCGTAAGTTCCTCGATGGACAGGTGCCAGCCGGAGCACCATGATTGAAAATTCTTCCACGTGGCCTCATATATTTGATTCGTGGAAGGACGGCAGGCGGCCTGAATTACATTGATGACCCCTTGCAAGCAAAGCTCCCTTGTTAAGATTGAGCGCTCAAGTGTCAGACGGCTAACTGTAGCCATTGGGGTTCCGGATGGAGAATAACCCCTTGACTGAGCGAGACCCGATCCGGAGGAATCCGCCAAGGGTCCATGAGGGAAAGTCTCCTCGGGTCGGCAAACCAAGGTCTCCTTGGCCAATATGGGGCCACCAGGAGTATCTCGGCTCGCTCCCGCAGAAGTTTGCGTATTACTGCCGGGAGGAGAGGCAGGGGGGAAAGGCGTAAAGCAGGCTCTGAGGCCATGGGCTCCGGAGCGCATCTGTCTGTTCCACCCCTGCGGATGGGAACTGGGAGAAGAAGCAAGTCAGCTGGGCATTGGACGGTGACGCGAAGAGGTCCACAAGTGGGAGACCAAAGCAGTGACAAATTTCTTTAAAGACCCTCGGATGGAGACTCCATTCCGAGTGGTCTACCGTTGTCCTGCTCAGAAGATCGGCCTGAGTGTTCGCTTCCCCTGAAATATGATCGGCCTTGATAGAGGCCAGGTTTTGTTCTGCCCAGGATCCCAGTAGGAGGGACTCGGACAATAGAGTCCGAGAGCGGATGCCCCCTTGGCGATTTATGTGAGCCTTGGCTGCCACATTGTCCATGAGGACCAGTATGTGCCGCCGTGCCAATAAGTTGCAGAAGTGCCATAGGGCTAGGTAGATGGCTCGTAGTTCGGGCCAGTTTATGTTGCGTCGGAGATCCGATGTGGACCAACGGCCCTGTGTCCACTGAGACTGGAGGTGTGCTCCCCAGCCAAACAGACCGGCATCGGTCGTGAGTACTATCCTGTCCGGCTCTTTGAAGCATGACCCTCTGAGCATGGCTAGAGACAGCCACCACGCAAGGGAAAGCCGCACCCGTTGTGGGAGTCTTTCCCTTTGTTGGGATGCACTGAGGTTCTGCCTCTGGAAGGGGAGCATAAACCATTGCAGTTCCCGGGAGTGGAGCCTGGACCACAGAACGATTGCTATGGCTGAGATCATCTTCCCTAACAATTGGGAAAGACTGGCTAACGTTACTGACCAGCACCTGCGTAATTGGAGAACTGACTCCCTTATGCTGTTCTGGCGTTCTTGGGATAGGTATACTCGGCACTCCACTGTGTCTATGATGGCCCCGAGGTGTAACAGTCTTGTTGTGGGGACCAGGTGACTCTTGGGAAAGTTTACCGAGAACCCGTGATCCTGGAGCAGTTTTACCACCAGTTCGAAGTCCGACCGGGCGGACCGGGTGGACGACTGGATTAATATGTTGTCCAGATAACATTGGACTCTGACTGGTATCATCCTTAAATGAGCTGCCAGAACCGCCAGGATCTTGGTGAACACCCTGGGAGCCGATGATAGCGCTCTGTATTGGAAGTGGCGTCCCTTGTATGCGAACCGTAGGAACCGGCGATAGGCCAGAGAGATAGGGATACGAAGGTACGCCTCCGTGAGGTCGATAGACGTCAAGAGGTCCCCTTTTCTTACGCTTCCCAAGATGGAGCGGAGCGCTTGCATCTTGAATTTGCGATATGCCAGATGGAAATTCAAGCCTTTGAGATCTAGGATGGCTCTCCATCCCCATGATGCCTTGGGGACGACGAAGAGGATGGAGTAAAATCCCTGACCTCTCTGGTCCAGTGGTAGCGGTTCTATGGCCCGTATGTGCAATAAATGTTGAATGGCTTCGTTCATGAGTCTTTTCTTTGTTCGGTTCCGGGGGCATGGACAAGAGAGGAACCTATTTGGGGGGTTGGAGACATCCAGGGAAAGGCCGTGACGGACGGTGTTGATCACCCATGCGTCCGTGGTGGTGGCTTCCCACTGGTGGGCAAACAGGGAGAGTCTGCCCCCTATGGGAGGTACTAATGGGGAGTCATCTGGAACGGTGGAATGGCCTGCTGTTCCCTCAAAAGGGCCGCTTGCCCTGCGCTTGTTGCCTGGGTCTAGGGGCTTGTCTATCTGCCTGTCTCTCTTGCCTATCTTGTCTGGCCTGGAAGGGTTGTGATGGCTGGGTGTAACTGAATCTAGCACCCGCCCGAAAGGACTGTCTCCTTGAATAGTAACCGGAGCATTTGTCCGGTCTTTTAAGGAGATGATTAAGGACCCTGCTTTTGTCCTTGTTTTCTGTTTGGTAGGGATTCAGCGCTTCCCCAAATAGCTTGCCTCCCTGATATGGAGCGGCTACCAGCTTCCATTTGGACTTAGCATCGGCTTGCCAGTGTTTCAACCAAAGCATGTGCCGACCAGTGATACTGGACGCTATGGCTCTGGCCGAAAACCTGGCAGCCTGGAGTGTTGCGTCTGACGCATACTCCGTGGCTGCTACCATCTTACTAAGGTCCTGGTGTGTGCGGACATCCTCCGCTGGAACCCAGGTTTGCAGTTGTCGGAGCCAGTTGAGTGCGGCTCTGTTGAAAAAGGAGGCGGAGGTTGCGGCCCTGATTGCCCATGCAGCCGCTTGGTGTGTTCTGCGGTAGGTGGACTTGCATTTGCAGTCCTCAGCCTTAAGGACCTCAGAAAAATCCCCGGATGTGCCGATACTAGGGGCCCTAAGGGCTCGTCCACTGTCGGTACCTCCAAAGCCTCCTTCAGATCTTTGGCTACATTGTACAGCCTCTTGTCAGTGTTACCTGGGAGAGGAAGAGAAGCCGGGGAAGTCCATTGTTTCCGGATCGCATTCAAGAATAAAGAGGGACAGGGAATGCGGTGTTGAGCCGCTACCGGTTCGACAAAGTTCGGGTCAGCCTCCGCGTCTGGGAGAACGGGAGCTGATTCTGTTGAGGTCCACGGTCCGAGATGAGCTGTGGATGTAGCCTTACGTAATAGGGTAACAAAGAATGAGGGGTTAAAGAGACCTCTGAATGAAGGCACCTCAGGTGGAATGTCTTCCTCCTCAGAAATTTGAACCTCCTGCTCTGTGGCGGGTTGGTCGAGGTAAGAATCCTCGGAAACTGATGACCCCGATGGAGAAGAGGGATAATGATGGGTCTCCGCCCCCTGCTGTTGAGCAGGACGGGGCATGGCCGTCCCTGGCCTGGAAGCCTGGGCCCTAGCATCAAGGGCTCGGTCTACTGCTTGTGTGATCAGTAAAGCTAGGCGGTCCTCCGTAGGGAAAGGGAACGACTCGCTAGGGCGTAGGCCTGCCGCAGTAGGGGTGAATGTGGCCTTGGGGGCCCCCTGAGACACCCGTGCAGTAGAGGATTGGGAAAAGGAAGGAACCTCACCTGTCCCGGACTGCGCAGGGGAATGTAAGGATTCCCCCGTTGACCAGATCCCCAGAGGGGAGATTGGAGCCCCCAAGGGTAAGTCAGGGGCTAAGGCTCCGGTCTGAGTTGTTTCCAACCTGGCCCTTTTCTGCGCCTTGGAGAACTCCTTTTCTAGGGCTTGGTGTCTCCTGCTGGCCTGCTTGTCTGTCTTCCTGGAAGATTTTGCGGTAGACCTGGCCTTAGTGGCCGCCGTCTTATCAATGCCTTCCGGACCAGGTGGACCTGATGAGGATGGCAAGGCTCCTTTCGAGGAAAGAATAGCTTTCTCCATTCTCCGATAGCACAGGAGCACGGTAGGGGGCACCTGGTATCTGGAGAGTATACACACCGGGTAAAGACAGACGTACTACAGGGGACACCTGGAACTCAGATACAGCCTCTGCGTGGATAAGGATAGGGGCACTACTGGGGGACACCTGAATCCGACAATGGCTGTGCACGGATAAGGACAGACACACTACTGGGGGTATCTGGAATCCAGCCTGGAATGCTGTGGATAAGGACAGGCACACGATTAGGGGAGCCTGGAATCCAAGCAGTTGTTATCCGGATAAGGACAGACACACTTCAGGGAGTGCCTGGAATCCGGATGGAGCCAATTGTATAAATGTTGACAGAATGGGAGCGAGGAGACACCAGGGCCTGAAAAGTGGGAAACCCAGGGAAGTCTGGCTATGTCACCAATCTAGTCAGGTCACAGTTGGAGAAGGAAGCCTGTGACTATTCTGAAAGAAGAATGCCTAGGGAGACCTAAGGCCTTTCTTTGAAAGTAGGCCTCAACCTGTATCCAAGATGGCAACTGTCTACAAAGTCGCCCAGTCAGCCTGCAGAGGGTCCGGTCTGATAGCCTTCCTTGAGGACCATCTCCCCCGGCGAGAGCCCTCACCCCAGATGGCCCTCCCCCGCAGTAAATGGAAAGACTTCTCTTCCACTTAAGCCTGCTCCCGTTGGGCCTATTTAGGCCACGCGGTCCCAAGAATGGCGGCCGCGCATGTGCTGCGCAGTTCCAAGATGGCGGCCGCGCATGGGGACTGAATCTTGAGAGTGATGCCTGCCTGGGGCCCATAGAAGAATAGCCATTCGCAGGGGAGAGAATCAAAAGCGACCCCGGTTTCGGACTCACCAGCAGCTGCCTGCCAGCTGATCCACGCTGCTCTCTTGCGCGCGCACCCCCTTCTACCGACAATCTGACGATCGGAGAGCCACCGTTGGAAAGAACATCCGAAATTGCTCTACGGGTCTGGATCGGCCCGCAAAGCAGCAGCGGCTCCTGAGCAAGCTAGAAATCTCGGGGGTGTCCTGAGTCTGAACTGGTCAGCGGAGCTGCAGCTGCAAGCTCCGTTCGCAAGAGCCGATCTCCTCAGCTGGCTGGGCTAACAGCCGTTAGCCACAAGCAGTTCAATAAGCAGAGAGCTTAACCTCTTTTTGGATGAGGGAGGGGGGTAGGGGGAAGGAAGGAGCCCCTTCCTTAGCAAGGACTTGATAGCCCCTCAATGGGAAAATTGAGATATCTCTAAATTCCTGGGGAAGTATTAGAATTTGGTAATGTTAACCCCATTTGAGAAGGGAATAAATCCAATTATCTCACTACAATCTCTCAGCTACTGGGAAAAAGGAAAATCCACTAATGGAGACTGTACCTGCCTAAGAGCCAAATTTGCATGTCTGTCCAATGGGCGAGATCAGTCAAGACTGGGATCTCTATGGTCCAGGACGGGCGTGGCAACTTTGGCTGACCTGATCTGATTGGGCAGGAATACAATCTAAACCCATTGGTGGATTCTCCATCTCCAGTGCTGGAGAAAAAGCTATAGTTGTTTTTTCCCCTGTGTATCTCAGTGCACACTTGAAGGAAAGAATATAACCTGAACCCTCAAGTTATAACCATTTGTTCAGCAACGTGTGAGCAAAGGAAGGAAGATATTATGGTAAGATATGGACAAGTGTCTTCTCTAAGAACCTAAATGAAATTCAGAATTAACAAAATTCCTCTGAGCTCCAATACGACAGTGGAGATTTTTTCCCCCCCAGACTTGGAATTATCCAGGTTTCCCTATCTTTCTGACTATAGAAAGAAACACTTAGAATTATCTGAAAACTTTAACTAATCTATGTAGTTCCACATTTCAGTGCAATCCCAAGAGCAGAACAATCGTGACCATAAATTACTAAAGTGTATGACATTTAACAGATAGTCATTATTTTATATGTATGAATTAATACTAAATACTTCAAAATAGATCATAAACAAATATATTTATACTTACCAAACTTAAGATAAATGTGTAATATTGCTATAGTTTTATGCACCTTGTGACATTATTCTTAAGAACAATTAAATCAGCATTAGATTTATATAGCAAATTATGCAAGTAAGGAAAAATATCTACAAACCTGTACAAAGGCAGCGAAAGTTCTCACATGTTTTTGGGCAAACATCTGAAAATAATTCAAAGACAACTCTTCCAGCTAAAATTAAGAAAAAAATCATTACATTTATATTCACTAACTTTAAGAAGGCAAGCTTGCATGCATGAAAATAAATATAAATCACTTATTCTAAATCAGTTTATCTATGCATAACATTTAACATTGAAACCAGCAGTCTTACCAGGGGTGTTATTGATGGCTATGTCAAAAAAACAACGAGGTCTTTGGGTTTTCACTCCCATGGCTTCAGAATGTTATATCTGAAATAGAAATACAAATCATAAAGAAATGTGATTGATTATAGCATACTAATTTATTTATTGAATTTATTGGCTGTCCATCTTACCACAGGGTAACTGTAGAGTTACTAATAACAATATAGGTAAGATATTACAAGGCTTTATTATTTCATGCAGAGAAAAATTTATAGGCAATAATACTGCACCAAAAATATTTTGGTTGAATTATTTTTATGGGTTCTAAAGTGAATGCAATACTACATATTTATATTTAGGAATGACCTCATTAGACCAGTCCAAACTGTGTTAACAATCAACTTCCAATTCCTTATGTGATTGTCCCTTTAACACTGGGAAAGCAAAGAAGAACAGTGATATGCTAAGCAGTGAACACATTAGTGTATGACCTTTTCCTTCCACCTCTCCTTTACCACATTTACCACTCCTTTACAACTTATTTCAGGTATACCACAAGGTAATAAGGCGGTCACCAAATGACAGGATGAAAAAATTATTCAACAATGCAAAGTAATTAAGTTTCTATAAAATATTTTATTTAAAAAAAGTATTGATCCTGCCCCATTTCAACAAATCTGAAAATATCAAGTCATTCTGGTTTATTTATTACAATATTAATTTATATGGATGCAATTCTGGTTTGGATTTGCAGTGAGCAATGATTAACATTAAATAAATGTAGAGAAGGGAATATATGGAAATAGTGTTACATCAATCTTTTCTTACAAAGGCACAAAGTAAATTAATTTTTTGATAATTATGAATCCAGAAAAGGCAACTCTTTTAGGAACTGATAGTTGAAAGGTGATTTCTCCAGCATCATAAAATTGCAGAATCTTCCTATTTTGTCTATCCCTGGTGTTCACACTAGTGTATAGCCTTCCTTAAATATTGAAAAACAGATGAATCTGCTTAATATTTAATGTTCCTTCTACTTGGTATTATTTCATATATGACAGGACAAACACTGATGAGGCATCATATGCCAAAACATGGAGAATTAGCAAAGTTCCAGGTTAAAGCTATAAACAGGAAAATAAACAATGGCTGAATGTTAATTTCACTTCTTTCATATTATAAAACTAGTATTTGATAAGCATGTTTACCAGTTTATTGAAAGCAAATGATAAATTACAGTAGCCTTAATCTATTAAAACATATTTATGTTTTAAAACACATTTAAGCCTATTAAAACATATTTAAGCCTATAAATTGGAAATTCTCTAATTTTTTTCTGCAGGTTAAAATTAGCGTATTTTAAATCAGTATTATTTATTCTAATTATATCAAAAATTCCAGAATTCTCTAGATCATGATAGAGACACTATTTATGTGAAGAAAAAAGGCCAAAGAATTAAATATAGCACTCCACACTGCTTTCCCTTTTGAACTTCAAAATAGCCTACAATTTCAATTATTTATCTTAAACAAGAGCCAAAAACTATGTATTTGATTACTTATTCCCATGTAATTCCCAATGCTTTATGTAAACACATGAAACAGCAATGGATACAGGCAGTCCTCAACTTAAAATCATTCATTTAGTGACTGTTCAAATTTACAAGTACTGAAAAAAGTGACTTATGACCATTTTTCACATGTATGACTATTGCAGCATCCTCATGGTCATGCAATCAAATTTTGGGTACTTGGTAACTGGCATGCATTTATGACAGCTGTAGTGTCCTGGGATCATGTAATTCACCATTTGTAACTTTTCCAGCTGGCTTCTGACTAGCGAAGTCAATGAGGGAAGCCAGATTTGCTTTACAATTGCATAATTCACTTAACAACTTCAACAATTTGCTTAACAATTGTGGCAAGAATGGTTGTAAAATGGGACACAATTCACTTAACCTGTCTTGATTAGCAATAGAAATTTTGGGCTCATTTGTGACTATATGTGGAGGGCTACCTGCATTTGCTTTCTTTCTCATTTATTATTCAAATTTATATAGTCATCCTTTCCCATATATATGATCGTTGTCAGCTAACAGGCAATTAAAACAAACATAACAAAAAAGATTAATATAATACTATTTGAAAAAAAGAAAAAATATGAAAGCATATAAAAACCATCACAGAAGATATAAAACAACCAAGGCAATTACTATGGTCACAGTACCAGCACCACCACATTCCTGGGTCCCCATGCCCAGGGTTTTTAGGGCCGTGTGAAAACTCAGCAAGCTGAGGGTCCATCTGATCTGGGGGAAGGGGAATCATGTTCCATAGGGCAGATGCCACCAGAAAGACTCTCTTCCTGGGTCCTGTCAGACAACATTATAGCCGATGGGACACGCAATATGCCCCTCTTCCTAGACTGGATGGGGTAGGTAGATGTAATTGTGGAGAGGCAATCTGTCAAGTAACCCGATCCCATGTCTTTCTTACATATAAGCTAAACTATACCATTTTTAAAGGTTAGGATATAATTGTTTATTTGTACAAATTCTCCTAATACTTTATGTATTTGAAAGAAAACTAGATTTAATCCCAAACCATTTGCTTTATAGGCCAGTGATGGCGAACCTTTTAGAGACCGAGTGCCCAAACTGCAACCCCAAACCCACTTATGTATCCTCCAGTGCCGGCTGGGCGTGGCCCATTGGCTGGGTATGGCCCATTGGCTGGGCGTGGCTGTGATGGTAACGGCAGACTGGGTGGGACTAAAAAGTTCAATCAATCAATTCCAACTTTGCAAGATCTTTTTTTTTCCCACGAGAAGTTGCAATTGACTGATTGAACCTTTTTTTTTTTTTTTTTTGCACATGGCTGTGGAGGCCTAAAGCAAAAAGGTTTTATAAAACCCAGCTGAAGTCCTAGGACTGGGGCGACGGAGCGCTTACTCACAGAGAGGGCTCTGAGTGCCGCCTCTGGCACCCGTGCCATAGGTTCGCCACCACTGCTTTAGGCCATGAAAGAAAAAGTTTTCTATATAACTTCCAGTAGTAAAGAGGTAAGCTTTAAAATTTAGGATCACAAACACACATCCTTTTTTTTTTTTTTTTTTTTTTTGTTAAATACAGTATCTATGACCAGCTTTCATTGGATAACAGCAGCTCTGCTGGCTTACATAGAAAATCCTGTCTAGTCTGGTGTCTTGTTTCTTATAGCAACTGACTAGAAGCTTGATTAAACAAAGTAGAAACGAAGGCAAGCTGAGCGGGATCTTTTTTAATATTAAGAGGCACAGTATGCAAATTATGGTTTGAATTTGGGGAGCACACGTACATTTAATTTTCTGAAAGTTTCATTGGCCTAAATGATTGAGACTTTGTTTGCATAATATGTTATTTTACATGCATTTAATAAACCAGTACTCTTTGAGAAACCAAATAAAAATAAGTGGTCTGCTTTTTTGACAGAACTCCTTCCTCTGTCATTAGGGCAAAGTAAGTCATTAATTTCTTGGATGGCCAAAATGATGCTATTCACTCTTGTGCATAATGTTTCTTGTGTTTCAGTTTAGGTAACAGTTTAGGTAGTAAATAACTTTAAATTTTTATATGAATTTTTTTTTTTTTACAAAAAGTTTGACATTTACAAAAAACGCTTTTTTTCCTAGTAGTCAGATATTAGCCTGGGGTGGATTGATAAAAAACATTTAGTGTGGTTTAAATATTCTCTTCAAAAAACATAAGCTACCCTATTTTTTAAGAACATTTGTTAAATATTTTAAATACAACAGTGGCAACATAATTTTATGACTTCTATATTCACCTTATACTATATTTAAACCGAAAAAGTAAAATATTAAGTTCTAATTGCTCTAGCTTGGGAGTTTCAAACTCATAGAACATAGGCCAAATGTGGCCCTTTAAATAATTTTTTGCAGCTGGCAACAGTATTTTGGAAATGAATAAGCCCAACATGGCATGCTTAGCGGGTGAAATCTACACCAAAAGGCAGCAATGCTCCCTGATTACTTTAATGGGTATTAACAAGTGAGAGAGCAACCAAGATCAACAATCTGTTACCCTCCTATTCATACACTGAATGTAGCCTCTCATATTGTTTTGGATCCTAAGTGTGCTGGTTCTCTCCCTCATCTTTATTTATCTGTCCAACTAATTTATGCTTGCCAGGCAACAGGCAAAGATGTACAAGACTATGGCATTTACTGGGTTCATTGCAATTGCTGATGCCCACAGCTCCAAGCTAAGAAGAAAGTGTGACCTGACACAAAACCTGAGCTCAGGCAGAGGGGTGATTCAACTCCTAGCTTTGCATCAAAACACTGGCCAGGGCTGTATCTGCTCCTCATTACTTACCTGCTTTTACTAGCGCCCTCTTACCACCATGTCTACTTCAGGTTTAATTCAGGTGGCTTGCTATGCCAACCTTGGTATCTCCTGTCTGGGAGCCTCAGGTGGAAAAAAGCCTTTGCATGGGGAGACAGTGACAGGACCCATGAAACCCAGTGCAGAGTGATGACTCAAGCCCAGCTGTTAGGAAGTACCCTATCTGAGGTTTCAATGATCCCATTTTATAATGGAGTTGCTGGGGTCCTTTGTGCAAAACTAGCTATCCACCATATACCAAATTCCACTGGCAACAACAATCCAAACTATCATTGCATTGCATTGCTATCACTATGGCTGAAGTGACTAAAGTAGCTGAACAGCACACAGAATAAGCAGAGTACTGCAATCTCTCAACTGTTTTCCTTTCTCTTTTCTGAATCATTTCTAATATTACATTTTATTTAAGAAGGCGCAACGGAATATGTCTGGTTATTTCATAAATATATTTACTGTATGATGTATTTATTGAGTCTCATGTTTTATTTTATTGTTGCCAAATTTAAAGTTTGTTTTAGGCTTTCCTAAATAACTTAGTATCACAAATTTAACTACCAAAACCCAAAGCAATGGAATTGAAATAAATCACTTCCAGTACAGCTTGCAATACAGTGGTACTTAAGACTATCCAAAAGAAAAAAGAAAAGAAAAAAGAAAAAAATTCTTGGATCCAGAATGACAGATGTATAGAATAATCCATTATGAAATTATGAACTTTCAATAAATATATCTTTAATTACAGAGTTCTTGAATTCTTTCTTCTATTAGTTAAACCTTTTGGGCAAAGCAAATTCCCATACTGATATTAATTTAAAGGAGGATGCACATCAGTTTTCAAATGCCTTATGAAAACAATTGTATCAACTAACAAATATTAAACCAATTCTTTGAAAACAGATTAAAAAAACAACTACAATAACCATTGTAACAAATGTTGGATATTTTTCCTGATTTCTTCAAAAAATAAATGTTTGACTGGGCACCAAACCTTGCTTGCAATCACAACACAAAATTAAAATGTTGAACACAGCAGACTGTCACTACTAGATTATCTTCATGATTAATCTTTGATGAATTGAATTGTGTCACAAAGAATTAAAATGAGATGTATCAAATACAGACCACAAATAATTCTCCTCAAATTTGTTGAGACTTTTAAGAGAACTTGTTGCACTTGACATGTCTTTTAAATAATGCAGAAACAATTTCCTTCAATTTAAATGAAGATGTATACCAATATTCAAATATTAATGATATTAAAAATAGGAAACTTAGGAAATAGTGAATTGACGAAAAAATAATCAAACTGTCTTATTTGAAGCAAAATTAAAATTTTGACCAATCCTTCTGCAAAATACATCCAATAATGAGAACCAGTTGGTTGTAGTGGTTTAGATGCTGGCTTAGAAACCAGGAGACTGTGAACTCTAGTTCCACCTTAGGTATGAAAGATGGCTGGATGATTGGGCCAGTCACCCTCAGTCCAATTCAATTCACAGGTTTGTTGTTGTGGAGAAAATAGAAGGGGAAAGAGTATTATGTATGTTCGCTATCTTCTTATAAAGTAATAAAGATAAAATAAAAATCCAATAAATAATGTTGCATCAATAATCAAATCTGTAGTTTTATTAAATCTGCCTTCCCACACCTTCTATTGAATATATTTGTTCTCTTGTTTAAGAACAGGAAAATTGAGGGAGAGATCAAGAGCCAAATTTTGCTTCTCCTTAGGAAACCCAAAGCAAAATTAATTTGTGCCCTTTGGATGTTTTAAATTCCTGAAGATACATATGGTTATAACTGAAAAGTATACAATTGTACTACTTCATCTCCTTATCGCTCAGAATACACGATGTCTTTAAATATAACTTGTAACCTTTTATAAAAAAAATCACCGCTTATGTTTTTTTTAGAATTTCAGAACTAAAATATTGCAATGATAAGCAACATGTGAAGATCTATTTTTCAAATAAAGTGCTGATTTTGGAATATATGATAACTAATAGTTGGCAAGTTTCTGTAGAGTTTTGGGTAGATCAATACAGAAGGAACAACAACACAGAGCTAGAGTATTTAAGAGCAATCCCACTTGGTCTAAATTGATTCATTTAGTTCCTCCCCTCTTTTCATTGTGTCTGTTAATTTCACCACTTCTTACTTTTTTGCCTTTTTCATCTTTTACCTCGGTTACTATTCGGAACAATTGTTCCATTATCTTTCTTCTCTTTTTCACCAAGGATTTTTTACGACGAAATGGACTAGTTTCTTTCATTAAAAAAGCCGTTTAAATCAGCCTAGATCTTTTCCCACAAACTGGAGGAAAAGGGGGGGAATAGCTTTAATTTTGTGGCGAGGGGAGAATAGCGGGTTCTTCTCCCCGCTCTTGCACAAGTTGCCCGAAACAAACCCTACAAATTGCTATTAAAACCCGAGAACCCCCCCCCCTCCTCTCCCACCCGTCGAAGGCCCTGAGTTATCCCTCAGCCATTCAACGAGTAACTGCTTCTCCTCCTCCTCCTCCCTCGACCTGCGGAGAGGGCGACGCTTCTCTCAATGAGGCCTTCAGGATCAGCCCCTGACTCTGAATGAGAAAAGGCCTCTTCCCCGTTCAGCCCACCCCCCGAGTCAGCGTGAGGCAGATTCAAACTGGAAGAGAAGCGAGCCCTCCTCTTCCTTCTTTCTCTCCCGCCCGCTCCGCTCTAAGACGGGGGCGTCTTCTCCCTCAGGCCACCCCCGAAATTTGCCTCCGGCCCTTCTGCGGACCCGCTTCGTCGGGGCTCTTCTGGCCACTCACCAGCCCCTCTCGTGAGGCCCTCCAACCTCCCTTCGGCCGCGCTCCTCACCACCTCGCCTCCGCCGCCATGTTAGGATCTGGTGCAGACGGACTGCGTCAGTGGAGGAGGGGACGAAGCGGGAAACCCGGAGCGACTGGAGGCTGGCGCGGGCAGAAAGGAGGGGAGCCCGGGCGCGCGCGCGTGTGTGTGCATGCGTTGTGTGTCGACGCGCTGGAGAGTCAGAGGCTCTGGTGACAAAGTCGCCGAGTCTGGCGCTTCGGCAAGGCGGGCAAAAGGGTATTCAAGATCCCCGCTCCGCAGCTGGGCCTTTTTTTGCCGCCCTCTTGGCAACGCTGGCTCTGTTCTGCCTTTGGCGGGCTCCGGGCCTGTCCTCTGTCTTGGAATCGGCGGCAAAGAAAACGAAGGGATGCCCTAAGCTCGCGTTTCTGTTTCCGCGATTAGTCAACGTGTTTCCTATATCAACTAAGAGAAGCGTTTCAAGCCGCCCAGTCCTATTACACGTAGCATCAGCAACACCGAGTCTTGACTGCGCCCCGAGGCTGGGTTGGTCATCCACCCCACGACCTGGTATCTCTCCGACTATATCTGTCAATGTAGGAAAAGGGCATTGTATAAAGATTTTGTTTGCACGCGTTGCTGTTTACTTCGAGAGTAGAGCTTTTCAAGGCACAAAATGAGTTTATTGTAGTAGATATAAATTTACAGAAGGATCAGGTTGGAATCAGACGTCCTAGGCTTTCCCTCGACAGAACCTGGAAGCAGCAGTTATTCATAATTAAGGCTCACGATCCCTCCTTTGAATACATACACTACTGTCACCGATTTTGATTACCCTTTCTACAATTATTTCCAACATCTCCCTTTCACACATCTGTGTGCTGTATATAACGTCCCAATAACTAGTAAATAATTCAGTTTGTCCTAAATGCGAATCTTCAGTTGCACCTCTACCAAATTTGATAAAATCTCCAACGTTTTGGTAAATGACTTTGTATTATACATATAACAATAATTTATTAAACTTTTATATCCTCCCAACTCACGATTCCGGGAGGGTCATTGCAATCGAAAAAAATTATTGTACAATAAAATCAAGATATGGCACGGGTAGAAGTAGAAACTTGCCTCTTTTTTTTTTTTTACATTATCAACGTCTGAATTCCCGCCTGCGAAACCGAAGCGTCCCTCCGTTTGAAGACTACAATTCCCGAAAGGCAACGAGATTGTCGGTGAGGCACGCTGGGAAATGGAGGACAGTAGCAGATTCTTTGAGCGGGCATTGAACAGACGGTTACGGAAGCCGAGGAGGTGCGCTTAAATTCATTCTTGGAAAAACGGCTGGATACGGCCGGCACTCTCAGGCGCTTTTTGTACTGTAGGTGGAATTCCGCGGGAAGCTTTGAGGTTTCACGCAATCGGGATGCATTTCCACCACGTGATTTTTTTGAGGCGGAGCCGGCGGCGGATCATTCGCGGGGCGTCTTCCTTGCTAGCCGGTGGCATGGCCGCCCGTAGGGCACCGCGTGGGTTTAGTTTGCTCCTGGAGAAAAAGGCGGTCTGCTGTATCTTGTATCCAACGGAAGGGAGAATTTCAGCTGTTTGTGCAGAGTTCAACTAGGTATTGATTTCTAAAGCAGCTCCCGTGATAAGTTGCGCTTCGTTACACGCAAAGTCAAGGAAATCGTTCTCAGAAGGTCGTATCCTGCTTCTGCGTAATTTCCATCGCCAAAGGTTTGTTTTTAACTGCTTAGAAAGAGAGTGCTGTATTCTTTTTCTAGATTATGATGGGATGTTTATGGCTACCTCAAATATGTGTCTTTGTAAAACGTTGCAGTGGTTTGGAAAGATTTTGGTTCAGATGCTCTCTTGTCTTTTTCGTTGTATGCTTCCTGGTTGAAATTTCAACTTGGAGAAGAGCTATGTTGCCTTCGTGAAATGGCACTCACTATAGCTGCAGATTATGTACTTATTGGAAGAATAAAATTTTGCAAACGTTTTGAAAATAAACGTTTTTTATTTTCTAAAAAATAAATGACGAACCAGGGAGTGTGTCAGAGAAACTTAGTTGAGCTTTAGCAATAAGATAGTTATTGAAGCGGTGCCAGAAATGTATTTTTACCATTATTGGTGTAATAGGAAAATAATAAATGCTATTATAAAAATATCAAATATACTCGCTGTTAATGAATTGTTTCTTATGCAGTTTTCATGAAATGAAGATGATTTTCTTTTAAACCAATCTTTGTAACATTAAGAAAAGTATAAGCCATTAGTTCCCTAGGGTTTTATAAGTTTTTTTAAAATCACCCAGCCATCATTTAGATACCATGCATATTCACTATTACCTTGGGTATTCAAATAATTATTTTTTTCTTTTTCTTTAAAAATTCCAAAAGGAATTACCATATTTTCAAATCTATTTTGCAGTATCATTTTGTATATTTGGTCTTATGAGGTGTTTTGTATTTTCAGTTTTATCACGGTTTTGAATTAATTTCATTTTTTCCCCTTATGGCGGATGTTTGAATTATACTATTTTTTTAACAACCGCCCCTTCCATCAATTAGTGGAAGACTAACTGATGCAGCACCTCAAATGTTGAGTCAATAATGATAATAATGATACTTGTTATAAAAAAATCCAGACTTAACTCTACACAGTAGGAAGGGCTATGTCAATACATGGAAAAAAATAGAATCCATCATAGGCTTCCTTTTAGAATAAGATGAGGGAACAGAGTGGCAGAGACATAGGAACATAGTTGCATGGTTAAAGGTCATGACAAGTTATAGTTAATTTCCAAATTATGCTAAACTCCCTGAATTCCTCCTGACTTAGCAGTCAGAACAAGCATAAAAATAGGAGGAAAACAAAATGTGTGAATACTATGGTTCCTCACAATAGTTTTTATGGTTAGTCTGAATAAGGCTTGTTTGAAGCATTGGGGGGCTTATTAATAAAACACCTTGGCAGACTAATACTTTTGCATTCTTTTTCTTCCTACAGTCACTTCATATTATATGGAAAAGGAAATACAATGTTTTATATCTGCAAATAACATTTCTTTTTCCTAATGTATACTTGTGGCAGTCAGAAATGAAGAAAGAAGTTCTGGGTTCCTTTGGAAGAAGCCAATCCAAATGACAAGCATGCTTTGCCTAAGACGTTTTTATCCAATTCCAACAAGATGTTTTAACTGTCGAACTTGGAGCAGCGACACTTTGTTGAACCAACTAAATAACTTTACAAATGAACACCAAGTGTTCAATCTTGTGTCAAAGAACAGAGCCAGACTCTCTGAAAAACATGTGAGAAGTGCAATTAAGAAACTTGTGCAAGTTCAAAAGAAAAGGCCTCTGTCCTCAGAAACTATGGATTATATAAGAAGTCATTCTCAGTTTTTTGTACTTCGCATCTTGGCAGAAAATAAGATTGAATGTATGGATAATGAATCATTAGTGGATGTATTATACAGTATGCTCTGGTAAGTAGTGTGAGATTGAATTGCAGGCAAATTTATTACATGTTAAAATGTGCTTATAGAATTCTGTTCATACTTTTTGAAAAAGTTCAATCTAGCAATCATAAAAATCGTTATAGCAGTTGTAAAAGATTGTGTGTGTGTGTATGTGTGTGTATATATATATATACACACACACATACACATACACTTTGCAAAAACCCAAAGGAACAAAACAGAGGTGTGATCAAGACAAAGTACAGAGTCCTGCCTTTGCCACATAAAAGTTAAGATTAGTTTTTAAAATTGCCTCTTGCATTGGGGAAATGCTGCTGGAGTAAAATGCAACAGAACTCCAAAATCCCATTTGTTCCTCAAGCTCATAGAAAAGAATATCAATCATTGAATATGAACAATTTTTGCTACAAGCATTTAAGGGTTGTTATTTGTAATTTTATTTATTAATATTTAGATACTTTACATATGGGTTGGGGGAAATTCAGAAGTCGTCAAAGGTTACTAAAAAGTATATTTGAAAAGAGAGAAGTAGCACCCTGTACAACTTTGTGCATTAATCCATTAATAATATAGAACAAATTTGTTACAGAACAAATATATATAATACACATACACAAACACACTATACATTATATACACGCACCCACACATATACATATGCATATGTATATAGTATAACAAAATTAAATATATGCTACCAAGTTACAATTTATAGATCTCAATATATATAGATTTATTTTAACTCTAAAATATCTTACAAAATTTGTTTGGCTCACTTTTTATTCCTTCTGAAGGTTTGAAGTTGACGCCCATGACTCACTTGTAGAAGAGTTGGTTGTAGAAGGCTGGAAGCGATTAAATGAGCAAGTATACATTTTATCTGTTTATTCTTTTTCATATTAATTGGAAATTCATGCTTAGAATAAATCTCACAGAATTAGCACTAAGCAATAATATTTTTAATCCTTTCTCATGCCTCTTTCATAGAATTTGGTGGCTCAAATTGTGATGTAAGATAAATTTGCATGGATTATTATATTAAAAGTAGAAACTATAAATGTAAGACTACATCACTATAGTTATCGATTCAAAATAAACTATTAGTAACTTTAGGCTGCAGTTCTGAATTCCATATTCACTCATTGGAGTTTGTCCAAACTGAGTGCGTGAACAAGGAGAGCCAGCAAACGTTTGCTGGGAAAGTTCAGCGGGAGGCAAAAACAAAGAAGGAACCAGCTGCTCATTCTGAGGGAACCCTGTGCTCAGCTGTGAGGAGTAAAAAGCTGAGGTCCTCAATAGCTACAGATTGTGAAGGATGTGCCCTGATGGTTGTTGGTTGTCAATTGGGAGTGACTAGTTAAGTAAGCAGAAACTGTAGGATGGGTTCCCAACCGGGGGTATGAAAACCTGGGTTTAGAAGTTTCAAAATTATAGTGTATATGCATAATTCATTTTGAACTTTTGTAAGGGATGTGAGAATATATTAGAAGCATTCTAGGGGTATGGGGTATAGAAAAGGTTGGGAACATAAGGCAATCAGATGCTTTATTCATAGTCCTGTGCATTCTGCAGCACTTTTTCCAAATTAAATCTGAAGCACTGTAAAGCCTTAAATACTAGAGGTCTGCAGTATTTAGATCTGAAGCAGGAAATAATAATAATAATAATAATAATAATAATAATAATAATAATAATAGTAGTAGTAGTAAAGTTGGAAGGGACCTTGGAGGTCATCTAGTCCAACCCCCTGCTCGGGCAGGAAACCCTACACCATTTCGGACAAATGGCTGTCCAGTCTCTTCTTAAAAACTTCCAGTGTTGGAGCATTAACTGCTTCTGGAGGCAAGCTGTTCCACTGATTAATTGTTCTCACTGTCAGGAAGTTTCTCCTTAGTTCTAGGTTGCTTCTCTCCTTGATTAGTTTCCACCCGTTGCTTCTTGTCCTGCCTTCAGGTGCTTTGGAAAATAGCTTAATTCCCTCTTCTTTATGGCAGCCCTGAGATATTGGAATACTGCTATCATGTCCCCCCTTGTCCTTCTCTTCGTTAAACTAGACATACCCAATTCTCGCAACCGTTCCTTATATGTTTTAGCCTCCAGGCCCCTAATCATCTTTGTTGCTCTTCTCTGTACTCTTTCTAGAGTCTCAACATCTTTTTTACATCGTGGTGACCAAACTGGATGCAGTATTCCAAGTGTGGCCTTACCAAGGCATTGAAGAGTGGTATTAATACTTCACGTGATCTTGATTCTATCCCTCTGTTAATGTAGCCTAGCACTGTGTTGGCCTTTCTGGCAGCTGCAGCACACTGCTGGCTCATATTTAAGTGATTGTCTACTAGGACTCCGAGGTCCCTCTCACAGCTACTACTATTGAGCATGGTGCCACCTATGCTTTACTTGTGCATTTGGTTTTTCTTGCCTAAACGTAGAACCTTGCTTTTTTCACCATTGAATTTCATTTTGTTAGTTAGTGCCCAGTGTTCAAGTCTGTCCAGATCCTTCTGTATCTGAAGCCTGTCTTCTGGAGTGTTGGATATTCCTGCCAGCTTGGTGTCATCTGCAAATTTGATGAGTTCCCCATCTATCCCTTCATCCAAATCGTTGATGAAGATGTTGAAGAGTACTGGGCCCAGAACAGAGCCCTGGGGCACCCCACTACACACTTCCCTCCATATAGAGGCAGTTCCATTGAGGACCACTCGCTGAGTACGGCCGGTCAGCCAGCTACGGATCCATCTGGTGGTGGTTCTGTCTACCCCACATTTTTCTATCTTGTCAAGTAGTAGGTTGTGATCTACTTTATCAAATGCCTTACTGAAGTCCAAATAAATTATGTCCACAGCATTCCTCTGATCCACTAATTTTGTCACTTGGTCAAAGAATGCAATAGGATTTGTCTGGCATGATCTATTTTTGACAAACCCATGTTGGCTTTTAGTAGTGACTTTGTTTGCCTCTAGGTGTTCGTTGATTCGTTGTTTGATTATCTTTTCCAGGTAGTCCTCAATTTATGATCACAATTGAGCCCAAAATTTACGTTGTCAAGTGAGAAATTTGTTAAAAGAGTTTTGCCCCATTTTACAATTTTTCTTGCCACCTTTGTTAAGTGAATCACTGCAGTTGTTAAGTTAGTAACACGGTTGTTAAAGTGAATCTGGTTTCCCCATTGACTTTGCTTGCCAGAAGGTCGCTAAAGGGGATCACATGACTCCGGGACACTGCAACCGTCATAAATATGAGTCAGTTGGCAAGTATCTGAATGTAAATCATATGACCATGGAGATGCTGCAATAGTCATAAGTGTGAAAAATGTTCATAAGTCCCTTTTTTCAGTGCCGTTGTAACTTTGAACGGTCACTAAATGGGTTGTAAGTAAAGGACTATCTGTACTTTGGATCCGGTATATTTGGGGTGCATTTATGCTGGAGCTGAACTGATCTTAAGTTTAATAGCAATTCCTTAAAGAGTAGAAGTAGGTGGATATTTGAACTGGAATTTATGGTGACATGTAATTCCAATTGTTTGGAGTGCAGTTGTTGAATGCTTTCTGGAAGACTTTTCTACCTTTACTTGATTAAGATTCTAAGCTGCAAATTTCTCCTTAGGAAGTGTACTCATGGAGAAATATCGAAATTTGTCCTAGTTCGTAAACATATATGTAGACCTTTGGCACAGTAACTATATTGTCTTTGTTATCCTCAGACTGACTCCACCTCTGCTATCTAAATTTGCACTGTGTGTACAGGAACAACATCTGCATCATAGTCCACTCATGGGTGAAATAGCTCATTTGGTAGATAAGAAATTGGATTCCATACAGGATTCAAGGTAATTTTTATTTAATAAAGATTCCAGCCAGGGATTCATAGGTCTTTTAAGATTAAATGGAGAGAATTAATAAGGGAAGCATGCCCTCATTGTTCCCATGAACCCAACATCTGACATGAATACAGATAGGCAGCTTTGGGTGTGTAATTCATAGATCTTAAAAGAACCTGAAAGGAAGTTTATTACTGAATATTTTCAACTTATCTTATTGTAGATATACAATTGAATGTGCCCTATTGTGGAGACAATATACCGTATATGCCAGCGTACAAGGCGACCCGGCGTATAAGACGACCCCCGTCTTTATCGCCGGGCCGCATTCCTAGAACGTCGTCTTATACGCCGGAAACTACCAGTATTTCCGGCGTATAAAACGACTCAGCGTATAAGACGACCCCCATCTTTGGCGCCGATTTCAGCGCTCGCGGAAGTCGCCTTATACGCCGGCATTTACGGTAGTTTGGGATTTTTAAAGACAGGTAGCCCTCATATTATGACTACAATTGAGCCTGGAATTTTAGTTGTAAGTAGAATCACCACATGACCAAACTTAATTTTATAACTATATTTACAACACTAGTTAAGCAAGACACCATGGCCATTAAGTAAATCATGTGGTTGTAAGTCCAAATCCAACCTATCCAATGGGCGTATTTCCCCAGAAAATGGCAAAACAAATTGCAAAATGCAGTTGTGTCACTGTGGGGTACTGTAGCTGACCATAAAAGTCAGCCAGTTGCCAAACACCAAAAATGCGATTATGTATCTGCAAAATGCAATTATGTACCTGTGGGGATGTTGCAACTGTCGTAACTTTGAGGACAAGTTTTTTTGGATCTGTTATAACTACGAACAGTCACTAAGTTTCATGGAAGACATTTTTTCCATGGATGCAGGGGGGGGAAGGGGAGGATGATCATGTAACCTAGATCCCTAGAAACTGCATGCACAGTTTCACTCACTTCCAGCTATGTGGTCCGGTTCCTAACAGGGACTTGAAGCCCCCGTCTTATAACACATATCTATTCAGAAGTAACTCCCTTTGAATAGGCTGAGCGAAGCTTTATTGCAATGGAGCAATCTTAGCTGCTATCCCATTTGAGCTTACATGAGTATGAATCCTTTCAATTGTTTTGCCTGCAAGCACTGCAGTCTTCATAATAAGGAGAAATAATTAGGTGTTTTTTTTTTTAAGAAAAAGCATTACTGAAAGGCAAAATCTTCATTGTGTAACATTTGTCTGCTCCCAATTTCAAGTAGTTACTTAATATAAATGCTGTAATATGTCCTGTGTAAAAATCACCCTCTCTTGTCTTTTTTTTACTTAATGCCATTTTCTTCAGCATTGTTAGATTTTTCTGATGAAATGAATACGGGTAATTTTTTAAATATGTTTTTAGGGCTTTGTCAGTCGTAATGAACTGCATATCTTCTGTTACCTCGTCGAATTTGAAAAAGCGGTTAATAGAAAAAGCAGAAGACTTGTTAGAAACAACAGACATCTCAGTGAATGATGCCAGGCGATTTATACAGTTTCTCCGGAATGTCAGTTTTCTGCACTGGCCGCTGGTAAAAAAATGTAACAATATTTTTATTCGGCATTCACATGAGTTACGTGTTGAGGATTTCTCTATCATTCTTGGACTCTACCAGAATTTGCAATTCAACAACACTGAATTTAGATTACTTGCCAAAGAAAAGCTGATAGAACTTAAGGATCATTGCAACAGTCTGTTGAACGTCATGCAGCTGTTCATTCATCTTGCACCCATGGTACAGGAAGAGATGCAAAAAGAGTAAGTGTATTTGTCTTGCCAATTTATTTGTGTATTTTCTTTTTAAGAGAAGTGAAAAAGTTGAAATTATGACTTACCTGTACGCTATTGAGGGGTTATTTCCTCATAAATACAGGTTGTAATCCCTGAAATCAAAATGTTAAGTGTTAATGATTTATCGTCATAAGGAATTACATTCTTTGCAGGTTGTGGCCCAGGCTTCTAGACAGGTGACTCTACCTGTATGCAGGAGAATTGCTCTTTCCTTTCCCTCCCTCCCTCCTTTCCCTTCCTGAAAGGCAAATACTCATATGTTCAGAAGCATTTTAAAGTGCTTTATTAGAGCTTTTCTAACATCTTCCTCAAACCTAATGAAGACTCTTAGATAATTACATACAGCAAGCAAAGTGTCTGTGCAGTTTTATTCTCCTGCAGATCCCTTCAAAAATTGGAATATTCTTCAGGGTCAGATTGAGAAAATGGTACTGATAAACACCTTCAAGGAATAGCACAGGTCAGCATGACTCTGAGGACACCAGCAGTGCAGAACCAAAACCAAATATCCCAATTTCTTCTTTCCTTTTTAAATCTTAACTCAAATAATATTGCAAATTCAGCATTTGAGAAGCGTTTCCACAAGCAGATGTCGCAAATGGTCACACATCACATGGAACTGTGTCAGTTATAGCTAAAAAATATTTCTTTAATCATGTGGTTTATGTTGCTATTTTTTTCTAAACTTTTTATGACCTGGTATAATACTGTCTTAGTTGGCAAAATATTTGTATTGGGGTCTGAACGTCAGTGTTCCTACAGGATGAATTACTATGATGTTTCCACTTTTCATTTCTTGTTAATATATTTGGGATATGCTAGATCGGGGGATGGGGGCAATTAATGAGAAACCGGGGCTGTGAAGGGCACACAAACCTGCACATACGACGCATAGGACACACAAACCTGCACATACGTAAATTGAAAAAAAAAAAGCAGTTGCTTTCAAAATAAAAGCAATGCTGTTGTATTGCATGCATGGCACACATTTATTTACATTTGATTTCTAATTTCCAATTGACCTCACACAGGCCAGAGAGGGACAGCCAAAAGGGCTGTAGAATGCCCAAGTCTGTCTATGTGCTTTCTTCAGTTCCTCTCCTATGTATCTGTATAATAGTAGAAGAGATGGGAGACTCTCGGGTAATAGAAAAATTTAGGCTAGGCTGAGAAGTACAGATAGTCTTCAACTTACAACAGTTCGTTAAGTGACCATTCAAAGTTACAATGACACTAAAAAGCGACTTAGGATCATTTTTCACACTTAACGACCACTGCAGCATTCCCAAGATCACGTGGTCACAATTCAGACACTTGGCAACAGACTCATATTTATGATGGTTGCAGTGTCCCTGAGTTATGTCATTACCTTTTGTGAGATTCCGATAAACAAAATCCATGGGGAAACCAGATTCGCTTAACAACCGTGCTACTAACTTAACCACTGCAGCGATTCTCTTAACAAATGGGCAAGGAAAGATCGTAAAATGAGGCAACATTCACTTAACAAATGTTTCATTTAGCAACAGAAATTTTGGATTGAATTGGGGTTCGTAAGTCGAGGACTATCTGTAAAGCAGTAGACACCCAGCTCCACACACGAAATCAGAAGCAAATATTTTATATTGCTGTCAGGTCAAAATCACTGATAAACTTTGACTTAAAAATTTCACCAATTTTTTATTTGTTGAAAATTATCTCTGTTATTCATCTAAACTTCAACATTTTTCCATGGCTTTCAGAATATTTCTTTTGTAAAAATTTGTTCTTGGTTGATTAGCAAATTATGTTTTAAAAGTAAGAATGATGGACTTTCTGAATGCTCAGGCAGCTTTTCTATCACAAACATATGCATATATAAATATATGTACATTTCTTTTTAGGTTAAGTGAAAAGCTTCTACTAATCGCAGATGATTTGGGTCGGTACCAAACGTTAATTGTGGCAGAAAAAATGCAAGAAGTACAATACAGAAATCCACTACTGATTGAAAAGTAATCCTCTAATCGCATTCGTGTTTTGAGTTATTCTTTATTTTTGTGAGCAACTATTCTGTTTTTCATATATTTCTTTTCTAAGCTGTTTCTGAACATTGCTGGAATTTCATCATAAAAGTTTCCTTGTTTCTTTGAGTTTTAAACGTACAATATTTATCTTCAAATAATTCTAGAGATGAAAGTAATTTTTTTTTTCTAGGAAAAACACATTACAGATAGTCCTTGTTTAGCAATCGCAATTGCTGAAGTCAGTTGTTAAGCAAAGCGGTTGCTAAGTGAAAAATCCTGGGACCATGACGGTGCTTAACAATTTTACGCAGGACAGTGCATTCTGACTGTAAAGGTCAGCATAGGAGCAAGAAAGAGGGATGCTGCAAAGGTTGTAAAAATGCAGGCATAGGTTAAAACGTTACTTTTTCCTCACTGTCATAATTGCAAATGGTCAGTGTCTGAAGCAAACATTAAGCGAGGACTAGCTGTATAGATTGAAACAGGTAATAATTGTGTCAGAAATTTTAAAAGGTAGCTTAGTGCAGCATAACATCTGCACAGTCCAAATAACCAGGCTTATTCAGTAATTGTTTCAATTATAATCCATAAGTAAGAATTGATTCAGCTCCAGCCGGCTCTTCAAAAATTTATCTTTTCTGTTCTTCCTTTCTAGTATTAATTATGTTTGACACATAATAATAAACTTTGTATCTTGTAAAAGATACCCAGCTTCAGAATATAAGCATTTCTGAGAGAAACTTACATATTCAGAATAATTCTCCCAGTATCTGTACTGTTTTCATTACTACATTTTTATGTCATGGTTATATTCAAGAGCATAATAAGGAATGTAGGACTGTTAATAACCCTCATTTTATGGTCCTTTCTTTGAAATCCAATGACATAATGTCCTGATTAGAATTAGGGTAAAGAATGTAGGATGCTTACTTTTATATTAACTTAACTTTTTTCCCCTACAGACTTTTTAAGTCATTGGTCTGTGACCAGTTTTTTTTTTTTTTTTGCAGATTTGTAATATTTGTTTCACTAAAATTCTCATCTAAAAATTATGACATAGTTAACGGTATTTAAGCATGATACAATTACTTCTGTCACATTTACTCTCTGTTATAATAGCAGAAGTACCTGTACTTTCTTTAGTCCAGGTATAATTTAGTCAACATGTAACACTGCATGTTATACTACTTACCTAGTATTATAGACCAAGTCTAAATGTATTTCTCAGAAGTAAAAACTTGCAATAGCTAGACACACTTAGGATCATGCTGTAGACAAGGATGTCCGCTGTCACCTCTGCTTTTTTATTTTAGTTCTACAAGTTTTGAAGAGAAATAGCAAGACAGGATGAGAAAACAATAGGCCCGAAAATTTAAAGACTTATAAAATAGGGTCTTTTGCTAATGCTTTAACCTTAATTATACAAGAACCCAAGAATGGTATAGAATATTTAATGAAGAAATTGAAAGAGTTTGGTGCATTAGCTGGATTTAAAATAAATAAGCAAAGAAGAAAAATGTCAAATAAAAATATGACCACGCTTGATCAAGAAACCCCGATGAATAAAACAGGTTTTAAAATTGAGAAGAAGGCTAAATACTTGCAGGTTATATTGAACTGTATATGGAACTTTACATTATTTCAGAATAATTATCTCAAAATATGGAAGGACATTATTGAAATGGGGGAAAACTCCAGTTGTCATTGCTGCGTGAAATTGCAATGATTAGGATGAAGGTGTTAACCAGGATGTTATTTTTATTCCAGACAGTACTATACTAGTAATGCATAATTTATATAAAAGCAAAAAAAATATTTCTAATCTGTATGGCTGGCCAAAAAAACTAAGAATTAAATACAAATTGCTGCAAGATGCTAAAGAAAGAGATGGGTTATGTCTACTTGTTTTAAAATTGTGCTTTGCTGCTTGTTGTCTGGTATGAATAACGGCATGGGTTGCTCTAAAGAACATTTTAACTTGAAACATAATTTTGTAATGTGTATCTTTTTGGCTTTCAGGATTGTATCCCTCCTTCACAAGTACTTGGATCAGTATAAACCATTTGAGCTTTTGAGAGTGACAAATGTGCTAGCCATGCTGCATTGGCCCAAATCTGACATATATTCCAAATTACAACAATTATCAATCTGGTAAGGAGGTACATTTTTTTTCAACATATATAGTTACTCAATCTATTAATTCAGGCTTGTGTCTCATGGGGTTAGAAACATTAGATGAGCGTAAAGGAATATAAAATGGTGAATCTATCTTGTTCAGACTTTCCAGGAAACCTATACGTCACAGCTGAGCATTAATGAAATATAGGTCTGATTTCAAAAAATGACAGAACTGTACATTTAACTCTTCTGATATATTCTCGCACCGCTTATAAAAGTTTGAAACAACGGCAACGAATTATGCGTATATACTATAATTTTGAAAACCCATGTTTTCACACCCCCTGGAATATTGTCTCACGCCCCCAATTGGGAAACTCTGAGCTAACTCATACAATATCTGAAAAATAAATTATTTCTAAAAAACTTTTATTTTCAAAAAACGTGTAGTGACAGCTATTTGAAAAATAAAAATGAAGATTTTGAACTCAATATCTACTTCTCCCAACTTCGAGTGCATGCTGTATTTCTGTGTTAAAGTAGGGTTCAAACAGACCGACTCACCTGGAAAGTTCTGTTTGAACTTCCAAGTGTTTGTTATGTACACGAACAAACCACGTTCCATTCCATATCATTTCTCTTCTATTTGAGTAGCATCTACCTAAATGTCCCTCTATTGATCAAAACTATGGATGGATGGAAGGAAGGAAGGAGTTAGGGACATTATTGTTCAGGAAATAGTTTCCATTGACAGAAGGGCATAACTTAGATATCACATCTATCTTTTATTATCTGTTTCCTTTAGGAATGCAGTTTGAATTAGTTAACGTATAGCTTTATATGTATCATTAGGACAATTTTAAAGAGTTGTTTGTTGATAGAATGTGTCTTTCATTTGTGAAATTATGCTCTGAACAATATATGTGCATCATCTGAAAATATAGAACATACATTTAGTTAAACATATTGTTTTTATCTTTATGACTTTAATAGATATATTAATTAAATTCTTAGCTGAGATTCATAGATTAATGGTTTAAATTATCTAATAAAAGTTTAATACTGTTGGTTGCTTATTTTTTTGTTCTTTGGTTCCTGTTTTCTAGCATAAATGTCCTCAGCATATTTTAATAAGTATGCATGTGATCTAACTGAAAATCATGTAGTAAAAACATATATGGTACACATATATCTTGTACATTCATTTTTTAAATTAATGGTCCCCTATTTATTTATTCGTTTATTTAATGGATTTTTTGTTGTTGTTTCAATTCCAGCCATTTACAAGTTAAAAGATTTCCCGCTGATATTTTAATGCTGGTTCATGCTCTTTCTAATCTTCCTTCTCCTTATGTGGATGAAGCTGTAGTTACTCAAATTGATGCCATCATACCTCAGTGCAATCTGAGTCAGCTCAATCGTTTTACCATAGATCTTCTGAAATGGATGAAACATCAAAAATCAAATCAGAAAAGTTATTCTGGACCATACGGGTCACTTTTGCAAAAAATTAACAGTTGCGCCTTTCAGAGACTTGAGAAAATAAACAATTTGGATCTTTTGCTGAAGGAACTCAGATACATACATGGAAAATGGTTTCAAGAAGTACTTCTCGAGAAGACCATAGTTACTTTACGTCAGTTGAGAGATCAGATTACATGGTCAAATGTAGTGAAATTTGCATCCTTTCTCCTTGGAACCAACTATCGCTGTACACTATTACTTGACAGAATAGCTGCAGTTACCACTGAACATATCGATCAGGTACAAATGATATCATGTATCTCTCTTGAGAATGGTGAAATGAGCCGTGCGCAACGAGGGAAGGGCTGCAATAGAGCAGCAATAGAGCATTTACTGTACACACTGAAGGTTCAGTTGTGGCATACAAATTAGGTCTCAGGGCCCCTACTGGTTATGTGAAAAACGTGCCCAAAGAATATGATTTGTTAGAAGGTAGTGTCATACATTGCTGTCACTCTAATGGTGAGAGCAATCAACCAATGAAATAGCTTGCCTTCACAAGTTGTGGGTGTTCCACCATCACTGGAGGCTTTCAAAAAGAGGTTTGGTATAGGGTCTCCTGCTTGAGCAGGGGGTTGGACTAGAAGACCTCCAAGGTCCCTTCCAACTCTATCGTTTTATTTCCACATTCCTGGTACAATCTTGTTTTCTTCTAATTCCAGCTGTACAATGCCATACCTATTTATATTTCTGTGCTGTCCTTTGTATGCTTTTTTAAAACTTTAATTTGTACTCTTTTGAATTGACAGCTCCTCCTTTAAATCATGTTTAATACAGATTATGCATTGCTTCTAAATAATTTACAATATATTTTAGCTCAGAAATACATATATTTTGACTTATCGTATTACAGATGGTACGAGGAACATTATGCAGAAATGTTGAATATGCAGGCAGTATATTGGACTTAATTACTATAATTGAGCCCAAAATTTCTGTTGCTAAGTGAGACATTTGTTAATTGAATTTTGCCTCATTTTATGACCTTCCTTGCCACATTTGTTAAGTGAATCACTGCAGTTAAGTTAGTAAACACGGTTGTAAAATGAATCTGGGTTCCCCATTGACTTTGATTCTCGCAAGGTTTGCAAAAGGTGGATCACATGACCCTGGGACACTGTAACTGTCACAAATATGAGTCAGTTGCCCAGCGTCTGAATTTTGATCATATGACCATGGGGATGCTGTAATGGTCTTAAGCATGAAAAACAGCCAAAAATCGGTGTCATTGTAACTTTGAATGGTCACTAAATGAACTGTTGTAAGTCGAACACTACCTATATACAACCTCAAATAATGATTATTTGGTTTTTTTCAAAAAAATATAAATATCACGCCTGTCCGTCGTCTAGTTGAAAAGATCGCAGGAACGCAGGTACGAGGTGCAAGTCAGGGTTTTAATCCTTAACAAACAAAGTCAGCACTGGGAGTGGTTTGCTCCCAGTGCTTCATATAACCGTGCCACGCCCAAAACCCCACCCTCCAGCTGCTAACTACCATCCGCCCCACTACCCTTAAAGCCACGTCTGTTTGGCCCTGCCCTTCCCCTAAATCAACCCCTCCCTGTCCCTCTTCCTGTTTGTCCGAGATGGAGCTGTCTGCCGGCACGCTGCTTCTGTTGTTCTCTGGCCCTTCTGTCTCGTTGTGGCTCCTTGCCGGCTCTCCTTCAGCTGCAGGCAGAGTTGTTCGGCGTTTTGCGCCCTGCGGCACCCAGTTCCGCTGCTCAGCGGGTCTCCTGGGCTCCTGTTGCGCAGCTGGTCTCGTCCCCAGAGGCTCGGCTGTGCACGGCCCTTTCCACCACCTGGCATCGGCATCACGGTGATTTACCGGGCATCGGCTACTCTCAGCGATGCCCCTTCGGCTTCCAACACTCAGCTGATCAGCAGGGCGGCGAGGCTCAGTCTTTGCTGGTATCGGCCAGTGCGAGGTGGTGTGAGGCGTCAGGGCGGCGTGCAGTGGCGGTCGGCTGTGTTCTGAGATACCCCCCCCCCAAAGACTGGCAAGCCCCATGGGGCTTGACAATAAAAATGTGGGGTGGCTAATTGAAATGAAATCAGTGGAAACTGAATGTGCATAGTCCTGATTTCATAGATTTTCATTTTAATGATACCCAAAGTTGTATATTTGTCTGTGGCAAAAGTAGGTGTAACTGGTGTGGCCTCCTTGTGCTGCAAGAACTTCATGTAAACATTTCTAATATCTGTTGCTCCGTCCTGCATATCGGCTTGGAGGAATTTAGCCCATTTCTCCTTACAGAACAGCTGCAATTTAGGGATATTGGTGGCCTCCTCACATGAACTGCTCACTTCAGGTCCTCCCAAATCATTACTCTAGGATTGAAGTCATGACTTTGATTTGGCCATTTCAAAACATTTAATCATTCTTTGATGATACATCTTTTTTTTGGGGGGGGGGTTATTGTTTTACTACATGACCCACTTTCTCTTGAGCTTTGACTCAGAGAAAGATGCCTGGTAGTTTTATATAGAATTTGCTTGATAATTCAGAATTTGTAATCCCATCAATGATGGCAAGCCATTCTGGTCCAGAGGCAGCAAAGCAGACCCAGACTGTGAAATTTCCATCACTGTGTTTCACAGATGAGATAAGAATATTCTTTATTCTTTATATTCTTTACTGGCCAAGTGTGATTGGACACACAAGGAATTTGTTTCTGGGTGCATAAGCTCTCAGTGTACATACAGCCCACAAAGTGATAAGTCATAAATCATAAGATACAAACAAGTGATTAATTATAAGGTACCAATAGAAGAAGGTAGTAGGAAAAATAAGATGAGAAATATGAGAAAATGAGAAGGATAATAACAATACAGCCCTACTACATGGGTAAAATATCTTATGCACTTTTCATTCATGCCAAAAAGTTCACCCAACTTTTTTCCACAACATCCTTTTGGCTTATCCACTTTTGCAAACTGTAGACTAGCACCAATGTTTATTTAATTTTTGGAGAGTACTGACTTTCTCCTGGTAACCTTGACATGCACACCATTGTTTAGAGTTCTGATGTTGGTCTCATGAACGCTAACATTCATCAGTGCAAGAAAGGCCTTTAGTTACTCTCGTGTTCTTTAAGATTTCCCAGCCTACTATAGGCCTTGTTGTTGATATGATCTTGATCGGTCAACCACTGGGGTGGGGTGGGGTAGCATTGGTGTTGAATTGCCTCTATTGGTACACAATCTAATTAACAGTGAATTGATAGGATCCAAACGCTTTGGAAATAGTTTGGTAGCTTTCTTCAGTGAGCATCAACAACTGTTTTTCAGCAATTTAGAAATCCCTTTTGTTCAAGCCATGACACACTTCCACATAACTGTGCTATGAAAATCAGACCTTGATGACGAATAGCCCGAATTCTCTTCTTTAAATACGGCAGGGCTTCCCATACTCATACTTGATTATTATCCCAAAATTAGAGTCAGGAGATTGAAACTACTTACTTTCAATTTTCCTTCAAAAGTCCTAGAGCAGGGGTGTCAAGCTTGATTGCATCGCGGGCTGTATCGTGACATATCAGGAATTTCTTTGCCTTTGCGTGTCCTGCTTGGGCCACCTGGTCTGTGGGCCGTGTGTTTGACATGCCTGTCCTAGAGGCGCACATAATTTTGCCACACAAATATTAGCTTTGAATGGGTGTCCCTCAAGAGGTAAATAAGCCAGAATAAAGTTTTTGACTTATTTAAGTAGGTACTCTTCAACTATTTTAAGTCCTTGTGTGAAAAACCAAGCACATTTTAGATCATATTTATGCAGAAATATTGAAAATTCAAAGGGTTCACAAACTTTTAAAAAACTAGTGTATTTACTTATCAGAAGCAACTCCAAAAAGGGCAGGGCTATGAAAAAAAATGCCTAATTAATATTAACTGAATTAATAACTAATGATTAATATTAATTGCCTAGAAAATGATTGAACTGTTTTTTAAAATTAATTGATTCTTCATTTGCATTCTCTTTCTTGCATACAGATTAATCTCACAGTTTACACACACATAGATTCAGAAATAGAAAAAGATAGGATGGTAGTGGAATAATAAGAACTAAATGTACTAAAAAGGAAAGAGAAAGCAGAAAACAAAATTGGATGGAGATGAGGGAAAAAATCAACTGAAGCTGGAGTGGAGGCGAGAAATAAAACATAGTTCCTGTTATAGAAAGGGTTAAAATCCATCAAGCAACCAGCTTCTTCTAAATCAAACATCCTTGGTTAAGCAATCCTTTGCATTTCCCACCCAATCACTTGTTTTAAATAAATGTTTTCTCCTTCATTTACAAATTTCTATTAGTTGAAGATAAGAAACGAAATCAGAATTCAGGTTATGATTGTTAAGGTGAAATTTTCTATTTAGGTTTAGTTCAGAATGGTCATCTGAACCTAGGTGCCCAGGTTTTGCTGGGGTTGGGATTCTGTTTATAAAACAAATTTCTATATCTTTTGTTGAGGTGCCACATCTATAATGACAGATGCTTAGTTAAATCTTGTATGGATTAGTATAACCTGGCGGTAGTCTTTGAAAAATGCTCAGTTTATTGCAAGTAAGCAATGGACCTGATTAGAAAAGGAGGACTCCCTCACTACAATAGCTTCCTGAGCTACCTTTCTGTTTCAGAGCATAATGAAAAGTGTTAGGAGTATCAAAAATTTCTTGGGACAGAATAGTTGAAAAGTTCTTTTCCCCTGGGTTTTAAGAAATCTTGGAGAGGTTGATGGATGGTTGGTTTTTTAATGTTATACAAAACTGGCAAAAACAGATGAGCTGATTTCTCCTCTTTTCTTTCTCTAGATCTATTATTCAGAAGTACATGTTATTCTTGCTCTATTTTCTTTATTTAATTATGAACCCCCTGAAGCTGAGAAATTTTTTGAGGCTTGCATTAATCATATCAGTCTTCACCTGGGTAAGTTTATTATCAAAATGATGGTCAGATTATATTTTTCTGGAAGTGACAATTATCAACATGTAAAGAAAATGTCAAATTATAAACTCTTCTATTTCTATCTCTTAGAATGAAAGAAATCAAATATATTTATTTGGGCTCTTTCATTGTTTTCATAGAGAATATTCTAATTTCTGAATGTTATTAAAGGGGAAATTTAAAGAGCCAGCCATGATGTGGCACTGTCCCATTCTATAGCTTTTAAAAATAACTACAGTGTTATTTTTGTACGTTTACAGTGTATAAGTAGGAATACATTAAAATGGTCACGGAAAATAGACCTTTTTTGACATGAATAATGGATTTTTAAGTGTGTTTCATCTGGTTATTTTCTCTAAGGATGCTTACAAAGTCGCCCAGTTTTAGAAAATACGTTACAAAAGTGCCATAAGCATAAATGAAAAACTCTGTTAAGTTTGTGAAGAAGCAATCTGCTGCAAAGGACCAAGCAAATACAGAAGTAATATGCATATTAAGTATCATTGTTCTTAACATTAGTTACGTGGAGAGAATGTGGGTATAAAATCTGTTCTTCTCTTAAACATAAGCCCAATGAACAAAAACAATAAGATTCTGCCCTACTTAGTGCTATTTGGCATCATGCCCTTTGTTCCATGCTGATTATTCATTATTCATCCACAAATTATTCGTTATTCATCTTGACAAATAAGTTTAACTTGTTTGTGCCATGCTGGCCCTTCTGTTGTATAGTACATGGTAGAGTTATTTTGAATGTGCATTTAAAACGTTTCTTGGCAACAGTCAGCGCCAATGCTGATGTATCTTTTAAAGGCCGTTATCTTGGCTTTCCTCAGACGTGAATTCCCAATTTCTTAATAATGGATTATTTTGTTTCTGATCTCAAATGTTTTTAGATTATTATAGAACATTTTGGGCATCTTTCAAATGAAAAGCGGTGCAAATAATTTTTTAATAAATAAAAACCGGAAATATTAAAAGGAAAAGAAAAGAAAATGAAAGTGTTATGATGTCATACAAAATAGATAACTTCATAGTTTGGAAAATACATAGAGATTTCAAAACTGAGAAGAAGAATTAAAAACTTTATTAAAACAATTTCAGAACTGATATTTTTCCTTTCATTCTTTACACTGATTGTATGACATCTAATCTTAATAACTTGGTAGAATATGAAACTAAAAACATTGCTAAAATAAAGCAATTAACAGTAAGTAAGGTTGTGAAATATATTATTTCTATTCCCATCTAAACCTTTTAAAAATGCTAAGTATTTAGCTCTCAGGAAGCCAGATAATAAATTTTTAATATTATGCATTAATCTATTTATTTTGTACAGAACATTTTGAACCTTCTCTTCTTGTATTGCTTGGTTTCGCTTTGGCTTCTGCTGGGTATTTTCCACAGAAAGTGATAAAAGCTATATTTAATATTGAATTTCTCTCCAAATTGGATGCTGAGCTTCAAAGTAAGTGCTAATTTCCATTTTTTGATAGGTTTCATAAATAACTTGTATTCTTAAGAATGTAGTCTTGGGCCTTACTAAAGTATTCAACTCTTGTGAAAGAAAGATTTTTTAAAAGGACTACTCCAAATAAAGTACAGTACTTTTGCGCATTAACTTGATAGTAAATGATGTTAAATATTAAAAGGGTCTATGGAGATTCTCAGTCATCCAGGTCATGGTTGTTCCAAAGGTGATTTCTCAGGAGGCAACTGGACTTTCTTGTTTTTCTTTGAAGATGTTTCACTTCTCATCCAAGAATTTTCTTCAGCTCTCACTGGATGGTGGGGAATGAAAAGATTTATATTCCTTGCAGGCAGTGGTCATTTGCAATTTTTTAGAGAGTCGTTGAGCCCATTTGGAGGTTTACTTGTGTTCTCAGGGTTACCTGAGTAGTGCAAATGTGTGTGGAGCTTCTTGACTGCAGGATGTTTTCTGCCCTGTGTCCCTTCACTGTTAAAGATTCTCCATAGACATTTAGCTATGCACTTTGTGATGAACACCCTTTGAATGGTGCAGGAGTATGAATGGATTTCCAGAAAACATTGCAGACTACAGGGACCAATTGTGCTTCAGTTTGAGATGCAGACAACACAGACTCGTCGCCAACAGCTTGCGCCTGTCTTCAACAGTGAAGGGACACAGAGCAGAAAACATCATGTAGCCAAGAAGGCCCCATACACATTTGCACCTCCAAATGGCCTCAATGACTCTCTTAAAAGAATGCAAATGACCAGCTGTCTGCAAGGAATTTAAATCCTTTTATTCCCCACCATCCAGTCAGAGCTGAAGAAGCTTCTTGGATGAGAAGCAAAGAATCTTCAAAGAAAAACAAGAAAGTCCAGTTGCCTCATAAAAAAGCACCTTTAGGACAAATATTAGAAGGGTTTTTCCTCCATCAGTAATTTCTACTTCTGTTGTTATTTAAGTCTTTTAAAAAATAGTATGTTAGTCTGGGGATATTCTATATTTTCAAGGTCTGAAAAATGGCCAAAATAGTTTCTGCATATAGAATTGGGTGGACTTTTATATTGTTTGGACTTTCATTGTCCCCACTGGAGTGTACTTTTTACCTACAGTTTTCCCATATATATTTATAGTTTTTTTTTTCAAATAAATCTTTTACATGTATAGATTAAACAAATGGGTTGCATCTCAACAATGTTCTTAGTTGAAAAATTTACCTATAACAAAGGAAAAACTTCAAACCACTAGTCATTTTATATATTTGACCTTTAAATTTCCCCCATGTTTCCCCACATGTTTATCCACACATGGGTAAACAGCTGCTAAATGTTCCATAAATACATTCTGAAAAAAACAACCAAATAATAAAAATCAGTTTAATGCTATTTTACTTTTGCTACATTTATTTAAGTGTAGCTGCCTCCATAGAGGGGCTGACACCAAGAATTTTCTTCAGAAGCTGACATGAAATACAACAAAATTGTATAGATTCAGTACTTCCTGAATTTAATTTTTAGAAATTGGTTTTATTTTACTGCCTATGGAGATTCTCAGTCATCCAGGTCATAGTTGTCCCAAAGATGCTTTTTCACGAAGCAATTGAACTTGTTTTTCTTTGAAGAAATTTCTCATCCAAAATGCTTCTTTGATGACATAGACAAACCTCCAAGTGGCCTCACTGACTCTAAAACAGGGGTGTCAAACTGCCGGCCCGGATGCATCATGCTGAAATCGCACTCACCCCATTGCCGGCAATTGAAAAAAAGCCGCAATATGTCACAACACGTCACGTGACGTTGCAAGTTTGACACCCCTGCTCTAAAAGAATGCAAATGACCAGCTATCTGCAAAGAATACAAATTCTTCCATTCCCCAACATCCAATCAGAACTGAAGAAGCTTCTTGGATGGGAAGTGAAACATCTTCAAAAAAAAATACAAGTCCAGTTGCCTCCTGAAAAAGCATCTTTGGGTTTTGCTTTACTCTTAGCTGTTTGTTTCTTATTTCTTATTCTTAAAAATGAGGTGCTAGTTGTTAATTTATGAATTCTTCGATGATACCTGTACTTAGCTATCACAATGAAGTAAGTAATATGGCACGAATACATTTTTGTGAATTTTTTTGTCTACAAAAGTGTCTTCTTTTTTTATTCATGGTTACTGCAATATTATATTCTAAACATTGCCCTGTTGTGCTTATTTCTTCTGGATTTTTTTTTAAAAAAACAGTTCTACCATGGAAAACAGCAAGTAAGTCCACCTTCCAGCTGATGGAGCTGAATCGAGCTGTCTGTTTGGAGTGCCCCGAGCTTCAGATTCCATGGTTTCATAAACGCTTCTGTGAACAGCTGAAGAAAAAAAGTGAATATTTAAAGTTTTTGGCAGTTTAATGGCATTAAATATAAGGCTACAATTCCTTTGAATCATTTTTTGTTTACAGAACTGGATTTATTACTCCTTGGATATAGCAAAATTAGAAGTTAAAGATCTCCTTTGTCATGTTCGATCTGCTTCCTTTGGAGAACTGTGATCTTTTAAAAAATGGGCAAAGATGGTGGGAAGCCTCTGATAATACCTAGGCCTTGCCTTTGTGAAATAATAGATAGGGCTGTCTTCTTTTCATTTCTGACTTGGTGTTTGTTTTCTTTGCTGTCTTTTTTCTTCTTCTAGAGACTGATTTATCCAGTCCGTTGCAACAGCAGATATATATACTACTTGGAGAAATCCTAGGAAGAAGCCATTATGCCAGATGTTCTGTACTCACTTCTTACTATTATAGAATTGGTGGGTTGTTTCAAAAAAAGAGTATAAGATTTGTATTGTTTTATTTTATACAAGCCTTGAGAGTTTTGTCTAAATGTTTATGATCTTGTATGAACGTGGCACTCTTGATTTTAAAACTATGCATGTTTTTCCTTTAAGAGCAATTCTTTGGCATTTGTTTAACTTTTGCAGATGCATATTCAAGCTAACCTAAAAGTTCCAGGCAGATGCTATATTCATTCATGCATTCAGGCATGCATTCATTCATTCATTTCCCGACATTATTTTTATAACTCAAGGCGGCAAACACAGGGTACTCCTCCCTCCTCCTGCTTTCCCCCACAACAGCAACAACCCTGCAAGGTGAATAGGGCTGAGGGAGAGTTGACTGGCCCAAGGTCATCTAGTCACTTTTCTTGCCTAAGGTGGGATTAGAGCTCACAGACTCCTGACTTCTAGCCTGATACCTTCACCACTGCTCTTTTTCATTGATGCCCCAAAATGCTCTAAAGCAGTGGTTCTCAACCTATCTAATGCCATGACCCCATAATATAGTTCCCCATGTTGTGGTGACCCCAAAGTGGGTGTGGCCACCAATAAGAGGGAGTAGGACAGCTAGGGAAAAGGGAAAAAAATGGCGGACAGCATGGTTTGGCGACCCCCGTGAAATGGTCATTCGACCGCAAATGGGGTCCCGACCCACAGGTTGAGAACCACTGCTCTAAAGCATCTCATTGCTTTCAAACGTGAATGTTGCATGGCCCTACTTTATGTTATTCTAGTGATGCCTATTTACAAATATTAGTAGGTGTGACTTCAGCTTCAGGTTACTGATAGTCATTCATGTCTTTCAGATTTTGAATTTATCGTTGATAAAAACAGGAGACCTGCTCCATATATAGACCAACACGTTGCCATGCTTAATTCAGACAACATAGGTGGTGCTGAAGCTGGTCACTCCTATGGAAAACAAGGGCTACCACCAGGATTGCAAAGGTGATCGTGTGTTTTTTTATGTTATAGTAATGCAGGACAATAAGGATTTCCACTAGATTTTTCAATTCCAGGCAGTCCTCTGAGCAGAGGATGGCACGTTATATTTACAATTTCACTCAAGTGATATAAGAACAAGGATCCTAATTAAACAGATGGCATTTTTTCCCTGTTCACGTATTTATTCGATTTATATAGTTGTCCATCTCACATATGTGACTCTGGGTGCCTTACACAGCCAGATAACAAAAAAACAAACAAATAAAAATAACCTACTCAAATAAAAACCACTAAAATAATAAAAACCATAAAATAATAATCTGCAGGAGAGTGCAATCCATATATTACTAACAGTATAACCAACTTGTAGGTTCCAGGCACGATGACAAAAACATGAGCTTCCAAAGGCAAGGTTGTAGGGACCTGTCTAACCTCAAGGGATTATTTTATTCCAAAAGGCAGGTGCAGGGCCAGAGAAGGCTTTCCTTCTGGGTCCTATCAAGTGACCTTCCTTTATTGACGCAACCTATAATATGCCTCTTCTGTTGGACTTGATGGGAAGGATAGATGTAACTAGGGAAAAGTAGTTCCTCAAATAACCCAGCCCCATGGCATGTAGGGTCATTGTACTTTGCACAATGTACTTAGTAGTTCTTTGATTTGAACCCAGAAGCAGACCAACAACCAGTGAAGCTCACGGAGCAGAGGTATCTATGTTGATCAAGGAGTACACATACCATTTCTTGAAGGGCAACCTTATGTATAGCACTTGACAGTAATCCATTCTGATGGTGACTAGGGCATGAGCGATAGCCTCCTGATCAAGGAATGGGGAGAACTGGTGCAACCTCTGGTTTGAAGATAGTCTACCACTTTAATACATAATTCACACAAGGACATATATTATTGTATTTGTCAATAATTAATATAATTTAAATAAAATCAATACAGTCCAAAGGAGACATATGTACTCTAAAGTGGACAGATACCCATAGGTTTATCACTCACATAAAATTCATCGCAGAATCAAATCTTACTGAATAATGATGTACTAGTGAGCTTTTATATATGAAATAAAAATAAGCTACTTGCCAATAAAATTACAAAAAATAATATAAGTATCTTCTGGACAATTGGTCCATAAAGATAATTCTAAAACAATTTTATGTTCAGGTAACCATCCCAAAATTTCAGGCAAGAAGTAATTTAAGTTTTAGAATTAAAGCATATTATTATTTTAGCATAAAACAATTTGCAATATGTTTGATATAATTACATTTCTGCTATGTACAATATTTTTTTTTATTCCCGTGATAAAATTTTTAAGAAGAGTGATAATCCTTACTGAAGCCAGCTATAGATAAATGTAACTTTCTTATGTTGCAAAAGATGGCATTATAGTTAAATTATTGGAAACATTAATTCAGAAGTCTTAATCAGGGGCTAATTTTAATGGCAGGCCAGTGTTATAATTAATGCATAATTAATGAATTACAATTATAACTATAGAAAAACATTCAGGGTTTTCGTTAAAACAATAGGTTTCATGTGTATGTAAAGTGATTATAAAATACTTGCAAGCTGTATTTTTGGTTATACGAAAGTAAATTTGAAATTGTATTTAATTCAGAATTGCTATGGAATTCCTTGATTCAGAAGCTTTCTGCAAAAATTCAAATCACGTCAAAGGATATGTTACCATGAAAAAGCGGCATTTAGAGATTCTTGGTTATCAAGTTGTTCAGGTATGGTATCTCCTCTTTGTAAAAGTTGAACAAAATTTCAGAATTTTCTGCATAATATTTCTTACCATAAATATTCACCTTTTGCCCAAAGGCTGCAACCAACTTTAAAGTACTCATGCAATAATACATTTGAGGAAAGTGAAAGGAAAGAAATATTAATAACATTTTAATAATATATCTTCATTTTAATCATATACTTTTCTTTCAGATCCCTCACTATGAATGGAATTCCATGGAATTGTCATCCACGGAAGCAAAGATTGAATATTTAGCAAATAAAATATTTGAAAAGCTTTGATATCCTAGTGTGGAGAAAAAAAATAACAATTTTTTATATGGACTTGTAACATTGAAAATTAATTATCTTCAGCCTTCAATAAACTTATTTTTTTTTAATGAAGACTATTTATGTTGCATCTGGAGGTACCCCTATTTGGAATTGCAGAGGGCAAATTGTGCATTGCAGAATTACATTTCTTGCACAAGGTGTGATTGTTTTTGGCCAGCCTGACCTGGCAAATTACCTAAGCCGTAGTTATAGCAATTGACTACTATGCTACACAGCATATAAACCTATCCTTGAGGAATGTGTAGAAGTTGCTTTTGGTGCCAAATCTAAAAACTAGATGCTATCTAATACCCAATATATTATCCTCATGTTGGAAGACTTGCAATAGTAGATATCTGATGTTGGGCATAATTTAAGGCAGTGTTTCTCAACCTTGACAATTTTAAGGCATGTGGACTTTTAAGGCATGTGCTGGCTGTGGAATTCTGGGAGTTGAAGTCCACATGCCTTAAAATTGTCAAGGTTGAGAAACACTGATTTAAGGTATGTATTTTCACTGTGAAAGCATGAAGGACTCCTGTTTTGTTATAAACTTCTCCAAGGATGAAAGACAGCTGAAGGGCTACTCTTAAATACATCCCACTATTGGCCATTCAGGCAAGAGCTTTCTCATGTAGCTCCTGAGCTGGAAAGCTGCACTGCTTTTTATTCAGTGTGAACTGAATAAATTCGTAATTATTTATAATGCTAGGTTTACTTTTTATTGTTAATTGTCTTGTGTATTCAAGTCCAGCCAAGCAGAATTTGATTTATTTATGTGCTCAGTTTATTAACCATCCTAACAGCCAGAGCTCAACTTGTAGGTGTACATACAGGAAAGAACAATTCAAAATAGGCTAACCTAGCCAGCAGTAAGAATATGTATATACATCGACAGACTCACAAGCCATTTTATCCCATATCCTGTTTAGAAGTTTGGGTTTCCTAAAATTCAAGAAATTATGGGGAATCTTGTTCCGAAGGGCAGAGCTACCCACAGAGAAGGCACATTTTGGGAGTTCAACCAGTTGGCACTACCTCACTGATGGGATCTAGAGCTTATTGCTCCTGGCAATTCTTATTGATGGGCAAAAATAACCAGACAATGGTAGTCCTCAACTTACGACCACAACTGAGCCCAAATTTATGTTGCTGAGAAATTTGTTGAGTGAGTTTTGCCCCATGTTACAACTTTTCTTGCCACAGCTGTTAAGTGAATCACTGCAGTTGTTAAGTTAGTAACACGACTGTTAAGTGAACCTGGCTTCCCCATTGACTTTACTTGTCAGAAGGTTGCAAAAGGTGACTACGTGACTCCGGGACACTGCAACCGTCATAAATGTGAGTCAGATGCCAAGTATCCAAATGTAAACCACATGACCATGGGGATGCTGCAACGGTCATAAGTGTGAAAAACGGTCATAAGTCAATTTTTTTCAGTGCCGTTGTAACTTCAAACGGTCACTATGTGAACTGTTGTAAGTCAAGGACTACATATATTCATTTAAATAATAAAACAATGCCTGTTAGTATACTGAATAAGCTGGGGAATAAGCTATATGCTGTGCAGAAAAAACAGATGCACAGGTGGCATCTATTGAATACTTGAATTTTGTGTGTTGGTCATCCTGTTTTGAAATGACTTGATCAATCATCTTCCAGTGCACATGAGACTAGTTCTGAATGCAGTACTATAAATTGTGTCTTGAGCTGGATTGGCATCCCTTTCTGTTGATAAATCAGAAACCATTTTTTTCAAAATTATAAATTAAGTAATCTTCAATTAAATTAAGAATCATGAAGTCAAGATTTTTCAAGCACCCAGTTCTGCTATAAAATGCTAATCCAACAAAATCTCAAATTTTAAGGTGACAGATTTTATACTGACATTTCAGCACAATTTCAGTAGTGCTTACTAACAGACAAACCATATGTCCAGTAATAGTTGCTAAAGTCACAGTATGCAAACTTAACAGCCATTCAGATATGTTTGGATTATAGTACCCTTTAACCTGCAACCATTGGGCATGCTGGCTATGGTGGATGGGAAATGAATCACAGAAATTATACACATACACACAATACTGTATTTTTTCCCCTCTATACAATTTAGGATTTGTGACTGCACTTTTAAAATAATAGAAATACAAGTGTAATTAGTGTTTTTCAGTCTATTGGGCATTATAAATTACAATCAAAGGATTGTCTTTTTTAATTATATTTTAATTTGAATTTTTTAAAAAAAAATCCATACATTTTTAAATGCCCATAATGTTTGTTTGATACAAGCTGTTTCCAAATTCTTATTTCTTGTATAAATAATGAAATTCCACCATTCCTTGTAAAATAATGATTCACTACTTTGGCTTGGCATACAATTGATTTTATCAGAGATTTTTTTTTCAAGTAAAGATCTTATTCTACGATCTGTTCATTGAAATATCCAGGGCTTTTTTTCTCATAGAACGCCCAGAACGGACTTCCGGCACCTTTTTTGGATGGAACCTTGTAGGGTAGGCAAGGCGGGTTGTATGATGTATGTGAGTTCCGGCACCTTTTTTTTTTTTTTTTTTAGAAAAAAAGCACTGGAAATATCTATTTCCATTGTTCAGTGATAACCTAATTGGTGATATATATAATAACTGAGTTATCTTCTAATTTCTTATCCTGGCCATCAAATATGTGTAGCAAACCTAGCTTGGGCAAAAACTGAATCTATTGATTAATTGTGTAAGACATGTATATGATAAATAACACAAGGTGAAGGAATATTCCTTTTGACTGCTAACCTTGCTAGCATCTCAATGAAAATTGAAAACATACATGTGAGATTGTTACTGAAGTCTGATGCTATCAATGTGAAGTTTAAGAAATATTTCCTATATAGATTCTGATAAAAATTGTTCATGCTGTCATACAGATTCCCAAATAATACCGTCAAATTATTCCTCTAAGTCCCAGACTTCTTTTAGCCCTCACCATAATATATTTCAGAAAAATCAGATTCAAGATTACATCTTTAGGTTCTGTGGAGGGAAAATGCATTTTTTCAAAAAGAGATAGATACCTGGAGTGTGTGTGTGTGTGTGTGTGTGTGTGTGTGAGAGAGAGAGAGAGAGAGAGAGAGAGATTCAGTTGATCTGCCACTCAGGAAACTGGGACTTTTTGTTCCAATTGTTGATCATAATTTTTAAATTTATAATATATAATGGAAGTTTTTGTAGAAAACTTTTTATTTTGTAAAGACCTTTCCTTGTTCAAGATTTCAGTTGTGTATAGTCCTAGTTATATATACTGTAGTCCTTTGTTATAATTTGGGTATTTTATCAATAGAAGTGGAAGTGAGATGCCTAGAATAAAATTTGAAAACCTCATCCTGGAAATTCAGCAGATTACATAATTTTGTTGGCGATTTCCATTTTTTAAATTTTGGAAAGGTGTTACTCAGATTTTGTAAATAGTAAGTTTAGGTGCTACCTTGTATTGAGAAAACAGTACTTCAAAATATACCACGTTAGATTTTGGGATTGTGTGTGTGTGTGTGTGTCTAAAAATCTTACAAATTCATTATTGATATTAACTATGTTAGCAATTAGTTGACCTTTAGGTCTTGGATTGAACCTCCCATTCTAAATATGAACTTTCCATTGTTACCTTTCCAAAATCTTTGCACTTTAAAATTTAAATCGGATTTAAAAAAACTTATTAGTGCCTAGAGTAAAATATTGTTTATTAAATGTTTTGTTTTTTTATATTGTATATCCTCTTAAGTTTCTTGTAACTTAACAAAAGATATTGCATAACTAAATATTCTATTTTTTTATTGTATCCTCAAATCTTGTCTTTCCATGAAATAAATTTACAGGTTATCATAAAATAACATTGTTGCTGCTTTGGATACTTTGCGCCTTATAAAATAATCTAAATTTATTCTGAGTTCCTAAGAATAAAATATTTGTTGCTTGTGCCAATGACAATCTTGAAGACTGAAACTCCAAGCTCTTGTCATGTTCATCCCCCTTCACACACATCTTCCACTTTAACAATCCCCAAGTTCTTAATACCTTTGTTCCCCTACATAAGAGCTCCTCCTCCCTTTCAATCTTAAGACTACGGCAGGGGTAGGCAACCTTGGCTTTTTTATGACTCGTGGACTTCAACTCCCAGAATTCCTCAGGAGTTGTGGCTCAGGAATTCTGGGAGTTGAAGTCCACAAGTCATAAAAGAGCCAAGGTTGCCTTCCCCTGGACTAGGGATTGTAGGACCACACTCGGCCCCTTCGTGCTCTAAGTGAGGAAGGGTTTTGCTGCTTCCTCATCCTCTTCATGGTTTCTGCAACTGTATCTGAAGATTAATTCCTGTTGCCAGTGTCAGAAGGAGCATTCTTCAGGGTTTGTTCATGTCCTACCATAGTAGGACTTACCTCTTCTTGGGTTTCCAAATTACAAGTTTGAATAGAAATCTCAATTTTTAACAAATCCCCATTAAACTGTTATTAATACTTTCAGAGATGTGCACTAAATCTTCTTTTACTAAAATAAACGACATTCCCATTTCAGCTTCGGGCCATGTTTACATTTTTTAAAAGTTTGGTAGAGTTAGACTCTTCTTTGGGATGATATCAGTTACACAAGGAGGCCCTGTGTTTACTTGTTTCACCCTTACTGGGGAATCTTCTATGGAAGGTAACCAGATGTTATTAGCAATAGGCCATACTTTTAGTCTCATGTTCCTCTTTTCCACTACAGGAGGGCTGCCAATTATGTATGCTTTGATCCCTTTCGTTTGTTGTAAAGCACCTTCCTAGATGGTTTATGTTTCTTAAATGCTTTAGAATGGAATTCAGTAGTTAATAATAGTTTCTGATGCTGCTGCTGAATAGGGCAAGTTGAGGGAGGAGCAAGGCATTCAGCCATCTTCAATTGAGGCATTAAAGGTTGGCTGTCTGATGTGACAAACCCTTTGTCTTATCCATTTCTTGAAATTTCCAGTGCTGATTGAGAGCTACCAAACTAGAAATGGCCAAAAGTAGTCAGTAAACATCACCATATTTCAGTAGAAAGTCAAA